AAGTGTGGCAGCGGTAGTGAGGTTGGCCCAGGATCGGACATTGTTTCATTCTGCTGTGCATGGGGTTGCTATGAGTTGGTTCTGACTCGATGGCACCTGACAACAACAACATTCTTACTCTAAAAACACTTCCTTAATGATTTTGCTGTATGCAATGTTAAATTGAGATCTTGCTTAATTTTTTCCCGAATCCTTTCAGATTGGAGATTTCCCCCAGAACAGTAGTTCACAATGTCCCTGTCTCAGCGCTACCAGGGAACTTAATGGATAGACAAATGCTCAGGTATTCAGACCTACAGAATCAGAAACCCCACCAGTGGGCACAACAGTATGATTTCATAAGCCTACCCAGTGATTCTATGGGAGCCCTGGGGGTTCAAATGGTTGACATGCTTGGCTGATAACTAAGAGGTTAGAAGTTCTAGTCTACCCAAGAAGTACTGTGGAAGAAAGGGCTTGTGATCTGCTTCTGAAAAACTAGCCATCCCTATGGAACACAGTTCTAATCTTACACGGATGAGACTGGTTCTGTTGATTCTGATGGTGGTTCTTAAAAACTCCAAGGGTCTCTGGTCCAGCAACACAAACTCATGCTTCAGTAATAATCTGCAAGTTCTATGATTCTTATTAGCAGTAAAGCAATTCAAACTCACCAGATCCAAGAGTGGTATGGGACCTTCCACCTGTCTCCTCATGTCGGTGTTCTGTAATGAACAATCACAGAAGGCTCAGTACCATGTATTTCCACTCATACTGCTGTCTACATCACCTCCTGTTTGAATTTTTCATATAGCCCATCACACAGTCCACTCTTTAAAAGGTAACAACAACAAATAATGATGGCAAAGTGTAGTAATGATTGTTCATCACTAATTCACTGACCCGTGGGCTAACTCTTTAACCAAAGTTAAGGAAATTGGGGCAGCAGAGGCCATTGAGGGTGATCACAGGAAGTGTAGTTGGGATAGACATCCAAGAATTGTGGCAATGAACACCCTAAGAAAAATAGTCTGATGTCTTTGCAGGTGGCTGTGTCTTTGCTATAAGGGCTATATGCTTTGTATGATGATAGCTGAGAATATGGTTGTGGGCATGAGACATTTTTAAAGATTTCACTAAGGCAGGAAACAGAAAAGTGTGCAGCAAGAGATCTGGTAATTGAACGATGCAAGGATTCAGAGAGCAAAGGAATGAAATGATGAAAGTGAACATGTGACTAATGTGTACGTGGGTATTAGGATATGCTTCAAATAATAACATTTTCCAAAAATTAAATCTGTATCTTCAACCCCAATAGTTACTATTACCCCACCCTTTCAGGCATCCATTACTTAAGGATTTTAGAATGAGCTATGCTTTTGAATAGATAAAATCTGAATCCATACGTCAAACCTTGGATTCAGCATATGGAAACTCACTCCCTTCTTTCTCAACCTCTTTCCCCACCATACATATTTTCCAAAAGTGTATTAGAGCCTTCTGACAACAAATCAAAGAATATTGGTTTCATAAAATCGCTACTGTTCTCCATACAAGGTACCTTTAAGGAATGCACGGTAATCTGATTATCAATTTGCCTGGATTAAGAAGATGAAGGTGAGTGATTTGTAATCTCTCACATAATAGCATTGAAGAGAGAGATTTATTTGTTCCTTGGCTAATGGTTGTTGTTGTGCAGTGCCCTCGAGTTGGCTCCTACTCATAGCGACCCTGTATAGGGTTTCTGAGGAGCAGCTGGTGGGTTTGAACTGTCAACCTTGTGCTTATTCTATAGCACCACACCAGCTGGACTAATGGTTAGCAGAACTGAAAATAGCATTTGCTGAAATGCCAACACCAACATACCAATTCCCAACATCACCGTTACAATCACCATCACCAACTCCCTGACCATCACCACCACCACCACCACAATTCCAAATTAAGCATAAGGGACAGAAAAATGTATGGGCAGACAACAAGCTTTATTTCATTAAATAATAGTGACATTAGATACACCAGCTAGGATACTATTTAAATTGTCCTTTAAATTTGAACTTCATTAGGTTGCATAACAGGCCTTACTTTGCCAAGAGAAACTAAGCATTGGTCTAAGATTCATTTCTCTGGAAGAATACTATAAAAGGTACTTGGAATTTTTATGAACTGAGAGAATCATGCGAAATAAAAAACTAATAAGTATAAGCAGCTTGGTCTTGCCAAACCTGTATTAGTATTGTTTTAAATTGTTTTCCTTATAGCCCTGGAGTGGGCAGTCCAGAGGGAGGCGGGTGAGCATGTGGCATTCTGGATTTTTCTCACCATGTTAGTCAGAGAACCATGACTGCCATCTGTTTTACATATTATTTGGGTTATTGTTAGATTTCTTTTACTTCTAAGGGGGAATATATGTGTGTGTGTGTGTGTGTGTGTGTGTAGAGAGAGAGAGAACAAGAGAGAGAGAGAATACATATCTAAGGTCACTAATCTTTAATATGCTTAGTGGTTGACTGACACAATGAACTTGAAGAACTAGTATTCAGAGCAGAGAATTGCTTTTAATCTTCCAGCCAGATTGAGTATTTTCCCATCTCCTTTTCTTCAGTTTTAATCTCTTAATGCAAATGGTTAAACAAACAAACAAAGCAGCAATAAAGCAGACTTGTTAGAGGGAAAAACAATGTCCCAAACTGAGTCTACATGTCAAACTCTTTAATCATCTTGTTGCCATTATAAAAAAAAAAAAGGTACCTATTGATTGATAGAAGATTGCACAATTTTTATAAATGTGTATCATAGCTAGAACAGATTTATCTAGCAGTCTTTCACCCAAAGCAAAATTCACCAATTACCAATAAGAGAGAATAATTTCAGCAAATGTTATATATAGTATATTAGCTATATTTTTTACAACACCTAAAAGAGAATAACTTCAGAGGCAGGATATTAGAATATAAGAAAAATTCACCCATGTTGGTAAAACCTTATTAAATAGGTTGCAGATATTTGTTGAATCTAATGAAATTGTCAATATTCAATGATTTTGACCTACAAAAATATCATTTCATTTGGTTCAACTTAATATATCACAAGATCAGGAAAAAGGCAAAGAAATTCCATCATCAAAACCGAGTCAGAAAAGCAATGGAAATTACACTGGAAACGGAAGCGTTCTTTTCTCTACGATGCCCCCATCCAAGGTTACCTGCGCTAGTGCTGATGATGAGTGGTGGTAGCCATCTCCAGATCACAAACTACTGTCATCACAGCCTAGACAGAACCTGTTCCCTGTAATCTAGAAGGAGATGGTGTTGCTCCTTACAGAAAAAACAAACCAGATAACAAATTTCCAAATTACCTGGCAGTGAATGCGCTACATCTGAGTTGGAATCGCCAATAACAGTAACTTCCGTAACTCCAGGGGACCCCGTGTTACCAGGGGTGACTGGGGTGAGGGTCGCGTTTTCCTTTGTGTCTGGGAAATGAGGGGTATAACCTTCCACTGATGTAGTTGAGTCTTCAGGAAGATTTTCATCTCTTCCACCTCTGCCATCATTCCTATCTGCGTGGAGGTGCAATCAATGGTAAACCCACGTTTGTAAAGCCACTGCCCACGGCATGCTTATCTACGGAACATGCAACTGCTGCCAAAGCCTCTCCTTTCCTTACTATCCATGAACAAGAAGGAAAGACACCGCAGTTCATTACACTGTTGAACAGTCAGGACCCTAGCCGACATCATTAGACAGCACTCAACAGAAGGAATCTGAGTGATGCTAATGCCCAGAAGAGACATTTATTGCAACTCCAACCTGGACTTAAGGTAAGGGTGATTATGTTGCTTCAACTGTGACTCTGAAGCTCAACCAGATATTAGAAGAACCATTGGATTGGAAGTAGAATTATTTTGCTTGCAATTAGAATGATAAGTGCAAGCTTTCAAAAGACCTTAAACTACCAATTTAATTATTTTTTTTCTTTGTCAGAAGGCACTGCTTCTTTGTCACCAGCACCATGGATTTATGATCCTGAGGACAAAGGACAAAATAATATTGTTAATGTAAGGTGTATAGAGAGTGATATAATTCACACTTTTAAGCTAATTATAAATCAAACATACATAAGTGATTCGTAATTTGTATATGAAGACACTAACTCCAGAGTTTAAGAAACTTGACCTTTAAAATGAAGATATATAGTTTGCACTATTGTACAACATCTACCAAGAGGTCTACAAAGCAGAAAAATCAGGGAACCATCACCAAACACACCTTCTAACTAAGAGTAACAGCCTAGCGTCAGCACCTCCACCAAAGACACTGCAACAGCACCCACAATTTATTGATTTTTTCACAATCATGAATTGAAATCAACTGGGCTTTGTCATTCTTACTGCTAGACGTTGACACAGGAGTTGTTGGATGGTCTTTATCTTCTTCTAAGCCTCCATGTTCTGTAGAGAAGCTCTGAAAATGACTTTGCTCTGTTACAATGAGGGATGAATCCAGTGTTAATTTGGAACCATGATACAATGTTTCTTTTATCTGTTAACAGGGAAGATTCAGCAATAGAAGTGTCTAAGATAGGTAGGTGCAAAGAGAAAACAAGATTTGTGTGCACTGTTTTCCTTTTATTGATAAAAATGTACAAGAGAATTCTGTCTTCCTCTTTGTTGGCCTCCAAGACCCTTTCAACAGAATAATCAGCAAAAGTAAAGTACTAAAATGAAACCTGACTCAAAACTTTTGTCCATCCTAGGTCATCCTGATCCAATTGTATTGCTGTCAGCCACTCAGAAAAACTAGAGAACGTAGACACATAGGGAGAGGAACAGTTTAATCTCAAATTGCTATATGTCACTGAGGGCCCTGTGTTCCCCCAGGAAGCAGTGATGAAAATCTCATCCACAGATGAGATAAAAAATTTAATAGTAGAGTAAGACAGGCAACTTTCTGTGAGTGTGTGAAGGGAATCATGAGTCTTAACAGAGACAGAAGTATGACCTATGAGTGACTGTCCCATTCTATACACTTTGTTATAAACACATGGCATCATGAAGAAAATGTAGTGTTCCCAGTAATCAAGAGCACCTGACTGTGGGTCAAGAAGTGAGACTGTAATGAACATCACTGCACAACAGTAGGTAATACACCTGTAACAAGAGAGGAAGGAGCTCAGCTAGAATACCTTGCTCAAGAAACTCAGATCCAACTTATAGACAGAAACTCCTAGCTTCCCTCAAAAGAGCATTAAATTGAAGTTGCCTTTTTAACTCTACTATTAAGTTTTTGATCTCATCTATGGATGGGATTCTCTTCACTGCACTGAGGAAATGCTTGCCTGGGCAAACACAGGGCCCTCAGTGAAATATATTAATTTGAGGTTGAACTATTGCCTCACCTAAAGTCACTTTGTTTGAATTAATTTCTTTTGTGTTTTTCTAAGAAAGGGATTGACCTCTGAGTCACAGGTGGAAGCACTCTATAAAGTGCACCTACCAAATAAATATTATGCCAGGAAAGAGGTATTCACCAAAGCCCAAACTCAACATCAGAACAAAGTCAACAGTGACAATAAATGGAATAGCCTTCCAATGGCAGTGGCCATTCTTAGTCTAATTTGCATCTTCTTTGATACCTAACATAGTCACATTATTGACAATTAACACATGCTTGCTGATTTTTTCATTTTGCCTAAAAGGACTCTGCCCATTATGTGGAGCAAGGGGTGAGATGAGGCAGATGGCCCTCTTAATTTTAGATCCCTTGCAAGCTCTGCCAAGAAATGAATGACTGTAGACTGATCACTTTGATATTTCTGCACAAAGAGTGGAAATTAAGGCTACTAGAAATTTAGCATTGATTCCTACCAGATGTTTAGTGATAGAAATGTTCCTTTTTTTGTTCTAGGGGTTCAGACGTCTTTGTCAATTGTCAACAACATGCCTTGACCTTTTCCGATGGGATGATCGGATTTCCCTACTCTTTATGAATAAATGGTCTCCAAATGTCTTTTTACAACCTCTAAAGGAATCCTACACATCTTCTGCCTTTCCTCATCAGGGCAAAGAAGGAAATCATAAGGAGATGATCAGTTTGAAACATGAAGAAATCACTGCCTTGGATTTCATACCATGACTATTTGGAGAAGGAAAATAAAGTTAACATTTTTTTTTTTAATTTAAAAAATGTTTTTTTAAACATAAAGTCAGTGAATCAAAAAGATACCAAGAATGACGGTAAGAGTAGATTTAAAGAACCACCACCAAGAAAATGTAGACAATGAAGACAGTTTTCACATCCCGGGAGAAGTGGCTCTCCATAGCACTAAGCACATCATTCCACCACCAAGCTCTGACACCTTGGACAATCTAAGAGCAGAAGCAAGAACACAAGCGGACTCTCATCATCCTTACGAGTTGTCATTGAAAGAAGTTCTGTGCTGTTCAAGTCTTCCACCAGACCACTGTTTGGATCTGCAGTAGGCTGCAGTGTTGTACTAGGACTGAAGTCCACATCTGAAGGAATTAAACCAGTGTTATTGCTTGAGTTCCTATACTGAGGGTGATTATGTAGTCTACAGTCAGATTATTTTTATGTTCAAGAAGAGATAAGAGGAAAGAAAACTCCTATTGTTTCATGTCTCCAGAATTAGGATAGACTATTGTTTCCTTAAAAGAGCACCGCAAAGCATATCTGCTTTTCACTAAAGGGAGAGTTGGATGAAATCTATGGTTTGTGTTTGTTTTTTGTACATCCTGGAAGGATGAAAGATTGTATGAAGAGACTCTCCAGTCTTACAGAGAGACAAGTATGACCTATGTGTGACTTGTCCCATTACATAGGATAAGGCACTTGATCACAACAGTGGTTTGAACCACAAGGTTTGGCACAGATCATTAGGCACCCACATCGGCAAATTTGCAGCCTTTACATGCAAAAAGGAAAGAGGATCAAAGTCTTTGTAGGACAAAAACCATGGCTGGCTCTACTATTCCAAATTCAAACAAAAAGAGCGAAACCAAATGAAAATCTCAACTGGATTTTCTCCCTCAACTATCTACTGATTGAAGGTCTAATTCTTGTTCATCTTTCATTTTTCATAAGTAGAATACTTTAAGAGGTGTCAAAACCAATTTCTCATTGAAGCCAATCATATTGTTCTTGACATGTTCATCAATTTAATGGAATCTCTCTCTCTTCTCTGGTATGGAGACATAATACTGACCCTGAAGTTCTTTGACTGGCTAATCTGATCTCACCCTGGATATCATTAAAGCCTTCAGCAGCTGTGTGGGGAACATATGTGCTGAGCCTACAGGAGGCACTTCAGCCATTCAGCATAACGACCCCAAGCCAGTCATTCCAACTTATCTGCTTTCATACAACCAAAGAAAACCTGCCAAATGGATTCCCTGGTTTTTCCTCACATGACTCTCCTCACATGAATCTCTTTTCTAGAAAAACTTTCCCTACTCCTTCTTTGTCTATCCAGATTTTTTCTTTCTTTTTCTTAAGCCAGAGATAATGTATCTTTCCCACTCTCTGAGGGCTTTTCTTTAAAAAAAAAAAAGTCCTTATTGTTGGCCATATTCATTTGACATCTATTATTTACTGTCTGTATTGTTAAATATATTTTCACTCTAAATGTCTTCTTTTCCCAACTAAATGTTAAGTCTCTTAAGAAATGCTATAATGGCACATATTTGTGTCTTCATAATGCTTTGCATATTAGTAGAAATTGATTATACATTGTAGTTTAAGGGACAGCTGATCCTATTATTTGGGTAAGGCAAAGTTGGGTATTCTAATGGACTGCAACAATAGAAACTCTTGGATTCAGTTATGGGGTAACTTTATAAACATTGAACACCAAGACATTTCAGTGTTCTGTCATGCATACTCTTGGCAATTTGTTCTACTCCCCGGAAACCCTATACAAGATCACTATGAGTCAGAACAGACTCAATGGCACTTAACAACAACAACAGCAATACAGAAAAAGGCTGAAGGGCTATAACCTATTCTTCTTCCTGTTCGACGACCTCATCCCATTGGATATGAGATTGGGTCAAAGAAATCCATCCAGAACCTACTGTTCTCTTGACTTTGTGTTGTTATCCTTTTATTTGTATGGCTGTTGTGGGCTAAGGCTGTTATGACCATACCGTTTCAATAATTGTCAAAGTGTTCATTAACATTTTCACTGGGGTACACTGTTTTTATTTTAAACTCAGTAGAATTTTTTTTTAGCATGTTTGAGTTCATTCATGTTTATTTTCTTATCAATCAGCATGTGAATAAAGGAAACAAAAACATTAGCAACTTCAACAATGGATAGAGAATGAGTTACTGAGATCAAGTGAAGATGAAGGAGTAGCTCTTCACCCATGCCATGTTTCCACACTACCATAACAGAGGCAGTTCAAGAGCCAAGAGTGCAGTCCAGAAACAATCCAGAGAATCACACCCCAGAAAAATTCACATGAGGTTGGAAGTCAGGTGGAGAAGGGATCAGGTCACAGCTTCTCGTTTGATTAACTTGAAAGGAAAAGGCATTCATCTTGAAAACATGAATGAAATCCATCAGAAGTGTTGTTGTTTATTGTTGTTAGGTGACTTCTGTATTTTCTAACAATTGGATTTCTGGCCTAAGTGACTGATTAGTAGCTAGTATGTGCCTTTACTTCATTCTGAGCCAGTAGAGAAATACAGGCAGAAAACATAATAGTAGCCCCTTAGAAACAACTACACCACATAGTCTGTGAATCCACGGCTCTGCCTGAAATGCATCCAGAAGTTGCCACACACAGAAAGGACATTATGCATTCTATTTTACATTGCAAATGGAAACACAGGAATACCTTTCATTGATACCAAGTGAGTATGTGAGTTTCCCATTCTTTTACCAGACAATTCATATGTCACACAGAAAAAGAATCATGGATCGGAGCTTGACTTGAGTCTAATTTCTATAATCACACAACTCAAGAGTAGAGAAGTTACTTTTTGGTGTGTAAATTTGGGGCTGTGGGGCAGAAGGGGGCGGGAAGCACTGGACACTCAAGGAGAGATCACCAGAGTCATGAACAAAGGGCCAAATGACAACAGACATGTGTCATTTTTTCCCAAACTGTCTGACTCCGTTTCTTCAAAAACTGGGGTCCTAACTAAACACTTCTCACCAATCGAGTGCTTCATAAAGCCATGTTGTCAATCTTGGTCCCATATCATAGGGTAGATTGCTTTACAAAATAAAAGGGGGCATTTTATAAGACCGGGGTTTCTGCTACATTCTCTGAGAGAATGCCCTAAACGAGATCTGAAAGTGACACACTCAAGGGTGTATTCCCCGTGCCTCCTTTCCATGCGCACATCCATTCTGCTCAGGCGACTTGTTATGAGCATTTAGGATTACAATTGAGTTGACTGCATCATAATTTATTAAGGAATCTTAATGTCTGTGGCAATTCCTTCAGGACTGGCATTTTGTTCAGTGTCCTCAATGTCAAGCATTTAATTCAAAAGGAAGCTTCCACCCAAGTTTGCTTTTCAAACCATATATTACCAGCTGCTTCTGTTGTTGAATGAGAGTCTTCTTTTGGTGTTTGGGTATGTTCCCCGGTCCATCCATCCCAGAACCACTGCTCTTCCTTGGTAGCTGTTTCTTCAGTTATACTACTAGGGGTTGCCTGGGCTATAAGAAGAATGTCAACTGTGAGCCATTATTATCCAATGTCCTCACCAACAGCTATTATATCTTTCTACATTAAGGGACTTTACACTAGGAGGAGGTGGTAAAAATGGAAAACAGCCAGGAGAGAGATCACTGTTATTCTGAAATGCACATGTTAAATCAAATGGTCCAATCCTTTAATTTTCAGATGGAAATTCTGGTGTCCAGAGCTTAGATTTGTTCAAAACCATATAAACAGAATGAGACATAGTTCGGACTAGACTGCAGCCTATGCATTCTCAGACTAATCTTATTTTAGTATATTCTCAATAGCCTCATATCACGAGAAAGCTGGACATTGAATAAGGAAGACCAAAGAAGACCCACTGTCTTTGAATTATGGTACTGCTCTAGAATACTAAACATACCACTGATTTCCAGAAGAATAAACAAATCTGTCTTGAAAGAAGTACCGTCAGAATGCTGATAGCAAGACTATGTCTCATGTACTTAGACACGTTATTAGAAGGAGCCAGTCCCTAAAGAAGGACATCATGCTGAGGATCACTGAAAAAGAGTAAGACCCTGAGTAAGATGTATGGACACAGTGACTGCTGTGATAGGCTCCAACACGACAATAGTGAGGATGGCTCAGGATCGACAGGGTTTTATTCTGTTGTACATAAGGCCACGATGAGTTGGAAGTGATGACAACATAGTCTCCCATATCTTGTCTGAGAAAACCTTTTGTTCAAAAAAGTTAACCTCCCTATTCCGGTGATTTTGGATAAAGGATTATTATTGTTGTTGTTAAGTGCCGTAGAGTCGGTTCCGACCCATAGCAACCCTGTACGGGTTTCCGAGGCTGTAAATCTTTACAGGAGCAGAAAGCCTCATCTTTCTCCCACGGAGCAGCTGGTAGTTTCAAACTGCTGACCTTAACGTTCACAGCCCGATTCGTAACTACTACGCTACCAGAGCTAAGTGTATAATAATTCACGACATCAGCGTAGTAAAAGGTCTTCTCAAATGGTGACCATACAACCCCTAATCACATTTGCTCAGCGGGAAGATGTTACCATAACTGGGATACTGCTTCATTGATGTATTACATGTGTATGTCTATGTGGCATCAAAAATTATTAAAATTGCTTTAAAAAAAAGTAGAATAAAAATTATCCAAGCCAGTATTTGATATTATGCAGATGCCAGGCTTATCATGTCAACCACTGAGCAAAGTAATCGTCTCCATTTTTTAAAAAGACAAAATTGATGGAATAAAAATTTCACCAGGATCCTTTCACGACAGATCACACAGCCAATGAAATGTCCAGCTGTAGCAACTAAGAGCAAATTGTGAGTCCCTCAAGAAAATGAGTCTATAAACTTGCCATGCCAAAGTACGTTTTGTCACTTGTAAAATTATTTATGGATCATTATCTTAGAAAACGATACAAGTGATTTGAAATTTAAAAGACAAAATTTCTTGCCCTCATTTTACCCTTGCTTTGACCAAAATATTCCTGGATTACCTAGTTATCCGGATAGAGAACTAAAAACACAGTCAAATCTTCAATTTTACTTCCCACAGACCACTGCCTCCTGAATGTAATTACAAGGAGAAAATTTGAGCCAAATGTAGACTGCTACATGACTTGAATGTTAAAAAGAAAATAAACACACATACACACACAGCTCTACTCTTTCCACCTCATATCATTATTTTTATAAGCATAGTAGTCTTTTAAATACTCAGTAACTCCCTGCTGTTGCCCAGTATAAGTGATCAGAATGTGCTAAAAGAATACAGCGTTTTCCACTATAAAATATGGAGGTTGACTCTCTTCTTCAAATTGTAATGTTCATTTGATAAAACCCAGAGGTCACCAATTAGAAGCACATTATATTTTGTTAAGTACTAATAAAAGAATTGCTTCAGTTGTTGCAGTGTCTGTCAGTTTCTATATGTCTATTTCTTTGATTTATCCTTTCTTGCAATGATGCGTGACCCCCTAGAAAATAGACTTGTTAATTCCAAATCTCACAAGCATCTTTCCAAGTGCACACAACCAAAAATAATTTTGAAGTTTTAATGTTAGAACCCAAATGGGACTGGTTACAGAATCTTATTTTGAAGCAACTTCTTCTGCTTCCTCTCTATTTCCTTCTTTTGTCAGAAGACTCCTGCTAACTCAGTCCATGGTTCTCATGCCTATGTTAAATCAGTGTGTTCACAATGTCTAGGATTAATCACCCTTGTCCTGGTTAATATTAGAAACTTTTGTTGTTTGAAAACATCCCTCAAACCATGACTTCTCAAGCTCCTCTGGTTTTTTCCTTTGACTTCTAAGTGGCTATTTTCCACATTTTTTCTTCAGGGGTGTCCAACATGCTGAAAATGATGGTGGAACTCTAGCTGTAAGAAATGCTACATATTGTAGTCCCCCAAAAATGATACATATTATAACTCAAAAAAGATAGACATCTGTCAGAGAACTAGATAAAAGAAGAGTGCATACATCTACTTTTTAATCATATCCTCAGTGTAAGGAGACCTGGTGGGGAAGGGTTAATAGCTTGGACAGTAAATAAGGAAGACTGTAGAAGAATTGATGCTTTTGAGTTATGGTGTTGGAGGAGAATATTGAAAGTGCCATGGGCTGCCCATAGAACCAACAGATCTGTGTTGGAAGAAGTGCAGCCAGAGTGCTCCTTGGAGGCCAAGATGGCCAACCTTTGTCTCTCATACTGATTCAATTTCAATGGGGTTTGCTTGCTTTTTGTATCTTCATAGTCCAGTGGTGAGACTTGAAGTTGTTTGAGAAAACCTGAGATTTTGCATATACATAGAAATAACAACAAGCCTTCTATGAGCAGCTGTAGAATTAAAATCATCATCTGAGCCATTCACTTTTATCTAAAGAGTACATGGAATGATCTCAAGTGATGCAGATAGAACCACAATGTGAAAAAGAAAGTGGATTCATCAGAGACCATTATAGAAAAGAGGCAATCTGGAGAATATTTCCCTTGGGAAATCCCATACTAACCACCAGAATAACACACTATTCACTACATAGTTCCATAAACACTCACAAATCGCCAGATGGAGACTCAAAGAATCTTTCACAGAAAAATCATGTCCCAAATATATAGCATTTTGGCCTTTTGGACAACCTGACAAGTTAGCATTTATTTCCAGTTTAGTTTTTCAGACTCTAGGGATAAAATAAACTAGTGAGCAGAAGTAGCTGTCTACACAAAGTCTCCCCTACTCTTAGAGATGACTTCACTCGCTTCGTCTAAACCAGATCTGTTGACTGCCATCCTTCTTACTTGTGCTGGTAGAATGCTGGCTTTCCTCATCATCATGATGCTCAGGGTAAATGAGTGGAGGCTGTTGTTCCTGGGTCCAGTTTTCTTCGGGGGCACTGGTGCCATTTCTGTCCACATCTGTCGCAATGATATACTGTGACTTTTTATCAACCCACCTTTTAATGTTTCTGTTCTTCCATTAAAGCACATGCTCTTTAAAATTTCGATGCCCCAAAATTACTTTTACTGCTCTCAATAATTTGAGTGACTTCAATAATGTGTCCCAAGGGAAAACCCAATGGACATGGAATTGTCTCCTGATTACTTGTTACAATATTATAATCACTTTGTCAAAAGCAGCACTTCAAATCATTATAATGTATCCATTTTTATACAGAAACAACATAAAAATACCTTGTGCTGAGATTATATGATTGCTAAATGTCTCCAAAGTGGAATTGAGTATCTACATGAAAGTTGACTAAGAATTTGTGATGAGATAGTAACTAAATTTCCCATTATGTACTGATGACTGACATTTGCATCATCACAGGCTTTGAGGGAAAAAGACCCCAAATCTTAAAGTATGTATAACCCATTACCAGTCATCGCTGTAGTTGTCTGGAGTTGTATTTCTGGATGTGAAAGGCCTGTACTCCATTCCTTCCAATCCTCACGTCTTGTGTGGTGAAAACCCCGTGATGTGGTTGAAACTGTGGTAATTATGATTGAAGCAATTAGAAAAAAATGGATTTCTTGATCCTTCATCAGTTGTTTTGCACATTCTCTCCTTCTTTTAGTCTATAGAAGAATTCATCTATATCAGGTTGTATAGATGGCTGAGTGGACATGGAAGGAAAGAAGAGCATGTCTTCAGCTTGATTCAGCCACCTTGTAAAGAATCTCAGTGTCCTTTGCATTCTGTTATAGAATACTTCCATGTTCAGAACATGAGATCTTCCAGAGAAGTCAGCTAAAGAAGCTGCAGGATGAGGACGAACACCTTTGCAAACACAAGCCCTCCACCAAGGATAACCAAAGACATCACATCCATGCAGTCTGTGGTGGCCCTCCGTCCTTGAAAGTCTAAGGAATTTGTATCACCGGTAAGTGTGTTACTTGTAGATCCTTAGACTGCCTCACACTGAAGAGGTGGGTATGGAAAGTTACACCATGATAGAGACTTCATTTTCTGAGTAATTTTGTTGTTAGAAAAACACCCAGAGCAGCCAGTTTTCCTAGAGATGGTTCTGAGAAAGAAATCTCTACTTAGAACAGCCATATGATTCAATTTAGGAAAATTTATCCAACACCCATTGTATTCTCATCAAATACAAAACATAACATAAGCAAATCATCCATAGCCAATGAAAAAGAAGGAGAAGAAAAGGCACATACATTCAGTTGAAACAGAACACAGGTAGCCAATCACCACCTTAGGGGCACACCAAAAAAAAAAAAAAAAAAAAAGCATACCTCCACCAGTGCCCTGAGACAGTCGCCTAAAGGATTACAGCTGGAATAGGAGACGCACCACAGAGAAGGATCATGGCAAAATCAGAATTAACATCTTTTACGGAAAGTTTATTGACAAACCCACCCCAGCTCTTTTAAACTTATTTTGGTACCCAAATAACAAATCTTTTTAGAAATAGTAATACTACCAGATATTCCTAGTTCTATTTCACAAGTTAAGAATCGCTGCTTAGATAGAATCGTTGATGATATTTTCAGTAAGTATGAAAAAGTGGCAGTTATCACACCTCTCCAGAAAACGGAAACCTGCTAAATTACGCACACAGGTATCAAGTTACAACATGAGCTAGGACTGAAAATATGCCACAGAAATAAACAAAAAAAATACCAAATTTACTCCTTAAGTCGGACCACACAATTATTTTCAAGTTGATCTATTTGGGTTGCCATCCATGGGAATTTAGTGTCTTAGCTGTCAAGATTACATCATTACTGATAGTGCTATCTGGAAGGGGAGGACACATCGGAACCCAGGAGACAGTGTAACACTCAGGATCCATTTGCTTTTCTTTCTGAAGTTCCTACAAAGAGTTTCCTTTTCCCATAAACTATGTTCTGTGGTGCGTCCAGTCTAAGGAATACACCACTTAAAGGTTCAGATAAGAAACAATCCATTCCTCTAGAGCAATTGCTGTATCATTCCTTCAAGGCCTAAGCTGTAGTTTTGGAATCTCCCCCAACCTTGCAGTTGTCCATTTACAAATGCTCCAGGAACACTCTGGCTTCACTGAGATAAAGAGCACTCTGGCTCATAACCACAGGGAGCATCCAAAGGCTCACCGTCTCTAGGAAAAAGCAGAGCCATGATGGAGTCAGGTTCAGGGATTTCCATCTGTGTTGCAAAGTCTTAGGCCATGACAGGTGTGTGTAGGAAACTCAGACATCTGGCAGAACAATGGAAGAGGCTTTGTATGTTTTAATTTTTTAAAGGAAAATTTTCAGCTCAATTGCCATACCTTTGTTCTCAAAAGAGTGTGATAATTGCCACAATTCTGATATTCCCATGTAACGGTGTCACCATTTGCTTTTAATAATTGGGACAATTTTGTTAAAGCTCTTTCAATGGCTTTCTGTTACACTGGTGCCCAGCTCTGTTACACACAGCCAGATTTTGATTAACTCAGACAGTTCTTGAATTCTGCTTCCATATTGTATCCCTTTCTAGGGCCTTCTAAGCCTTCGATTCAGGGTTGTCTGACTCAGGGGCACTTAACAACAACAACACCTTTAATGAATACTCTCTTAATCACATTGTCCAAATCTACTGTGAGCTCCTTGAAGGCAAAGGCTCTGGTATTTTTCATTGTTATGTTCCCAGCACCTACTATAACAGGCACATAATGAATGTTTGTGGTAACATTTTAATATGCTATTCTCTGGCAAACCTCCATAATTCAAAGCTTACTATAGTAGTTAAAAAGTGAGTCTGTAGCAACAGACCCCATAAATTTTTTTAAAAGAAAGAATAAGAGATATTAAGTACATTTTTCCTCCAAATACATTTTGGCTTCCATCTGAATAATTCAATTTCTTTCTCGATAACTTCACCAAAGTATAGGACCAAATTTGTTTTTCATATTAACTAAGTCCCCAGGATAGATACCTATTGGGTATCACCCAGATTAATGAGCAAGCCTTTCATAAATGCTTTGACTGTAATCGATTACCCTTACTGGTGCTGGAGATAAAATCTTCATCATCATCAATGCCTGATCCAGAATAACTGGGAGGTTTGTCTCTTTCATCTTCATTTTCTTCATTTATCTCCCAGCCTGCTGACATGGTATTTGAATCCGTACCTGTCGTGGTGACTTACATTAGTGGCTGAGTTGAATGCCAAACACCCCATTTGTCAAAGAAAGAAAACCAGACATAGACGGTATAATGGACTATCCAATGTTATAAGAAGAAAGACAGCTGCCTTGAAGACCCCAAACTCTTATGTTCTGTTCTATGGAGCTAACAGATAGATTTCAAAAGATCTTTACAACTGAACATTCTCTTTAAAGAAGCTAAAATATAATATGGACATAATCTCACCAAAAAAGAAACATAAAGTCAAGAAAAATTCCCCCAAGGTTTCACATGCATGTATTATTAACTCACTAGTCCTGGTGTGGTGCTGTGGGTTAAATATGCTGGACCACAAAGTTAGTTTGAGCTGCTCCTTTGAAACCCTATACAGGGTCGCTATTAGTCAGAACTAAATTGACGGCACATAACAACAACAACAATCATATGTCACTATAACTAGAATGACAAGAATTGAGTGGGAAGGTTCCACACATGCCTATTGCTTTGGTAAAGTTGCCTTCAGAAAAAAACTTGTGTAAACCTATAATAATCATCGTTAAAATCTCACAGTTGTGTGTACAATTCTACCTCATCTATTAAACCTCTCTAGTATCAGATCACTGTAGCTCTGTGTATAAATAAAAACTATATTGTAGTTCCCAGTAACACTTTGTTGTTGTTGCTGTGTGTCATCGAGTAAGTTCTGACTCATACAGTGTTTCTGAGGAGCGGCTGATGGGTTTGAACCGCTGACCTTATGGTTAGCAGTCCAGTGATTACCCTACAGAGCCACACCAGGAATAGAGCAAATAGGATAGTCAATGAATAGGTAAATCATTCCTGGCATTTATTAGTCAACCAACAAGGCTGACTAGAGTGATTGCAGTTGGCATTTTGAAAACTTCTCACATTTTCCGTTTGATTGAAGTCATAGGAACGGAGATTGAACCCTTTCACCTCCCATCGCTGATTACCATAGCAGAAGTGTCTTTACTGAAAAAGCGTTCCCTACATTTTGAAAAGGAGTTAGGCTGTCTTTTGGTTTTTAATACTATTAGTGTCTACCCCTATATTTTTCAGTTGATGGAGATTTTCTATATTTTGTTAGCATTGACTATGCTATTTTATTTTCTCATGAAAACTCCAAAACTTTTTATGACTTAGATCACTTTAGAAGATACAAAAATCATCTTTCAGAGTTAAAATTTTGTTCTGTCATCAAGAAAGTTCTGCCTCCTTTTCACAGTCTTCACATTCACCTCCTCCAAGCTATATAAATTGCATAGAACAGAGAGAAAGCATCTGCTGATTAATACTATAAAGCCAAACATGCAGATCTCAGCGCTCGTATCCTTCTGAAATCAGCACATAGACTTGTGAAGCCAGATTGGACTTTTGACTTTGACAACATCCCCAGAGGTCAACTAGAATTATTGAAGGCTATCAAGAAACCGTATGAAGTGAGATATTCATAACTCATTACCAGGCATTTTTGTTGTGTGGAGATGATTCTTGGAATGTGATGGTTGAAACCACCATGAAAACCAGTCACTGACTTCTTGCCTCTCAGTTGTTGGTTCAGGAGTTGTACCACTAGTGCTGGTCAAAGCTGTTGTAACCATGATTGAATTGATTGTTGAAAGGTTAATGATCAGTGTACATACTTTTACACTTTGACTAATCAAGAAAATTATCTACACTTGATATGGATGGTGGAAAGAAAGATTAAAGAAAACAAAGAAGCACCATACTTCTCCAGTGGCCAGTCTGGAGTTCATAGAATGTCAGAGATGAAAGGATCTTAACATCTTCTGGTTCATATTTTGCCCTTTAAAGATAAAGAATTGTGTTGCATAGATCTTCTGACTTGCCTGAAATCAGAAATCCAATTAGCCAAATAAAGATCTCAAGGAGGACAAGTCTGTAGTCAGAAATATGTCTTCAGATTTTAAAAAGGCTGCAATATAAAAAAAGGATTAATCTGTATTGTTATCTGTATTCCCTAGAGACCAATCAAGGACTCATGGGGGAGAATTTCAGGAAGATAGATATCCTTACAAATACTGTATTTAAAAAGTAATAATATGAACTATCTAATGATGGGCTTCTTCATAAAGTAGTATGCTCCCATCACTAAAGACTGGATAGTTACTGGGAAGTTAAGTTGTATTAAATAATTAGAAGTTTGATTGAACCAGACCACTTAAGATCCTCTCCAAATATGAGAGTCTATGATTGCAGCACCGAGCTCTCCAGAATCCTAACTCCTCAGTCTTCTATACAACATCTCTTGGCTAACCAATATCATTTTCCTGTAATTTATAATGATATTTCTGCCAGTAAATCCAGACACATAACCCCAGAAATCCTAGACATAGGAAGAATGACACACAGAGTAGATTTCTAAAAAAATGCATCTCCACTTTTCCTTTTTAGAGTCCGAATCTCCTACCAACTTAACCCATGGCCATCTTTTATTTTAGTGCCATATTTTGCAAAGCAGAATAGGACATTTTGAGATCCATTTTTAAAAATAGGGCATTCAATCAGGAAAGACAGAAATGAAGTGATCCACGGGTCCAATTTATAAAGAACAAAAGTAAGAGAATTGGACATGAAATCAAAATTTGAGAATTTTTAAAGACTTTCATTTTTGTAGCCATGATGTGCATCGGAAGAATATCAGACAAAAGTAAACAAAGACTGAAGACAAGAAGCCGAAACCATCATTAAGCCCCCAAAAGCCAAAGTGAGTGAAGTTTATTTTATCAAAATAGATTTCTTTTGACAAGACAGTCCAGAAACAACCCAACATGAACACTGCCAGGAAGGAAGACCTTTTACCCCACATCATTTGTTCTATAATGATAAACAAGGTAAATGTTTAAAAATACATCATCAGCATCTTTATTCCACATCACTCTCCCTCTGAGCTCCTCTCCCACTCTCCAGCATTACCTTAATTGTTACAATACGACAACCATAATATCGGAACTACTTTCTTTACAGGGTTATTTATAGAAATAAAGGAGTTATTTTATTCAATGACTTATAAGCAAATGTAATGGACCTTTGTTACCGCTCTCTTTCTTCAAAAGGAATGCTTAATTATTTTGAAATGTGATCACATTCTGCATCATTAAAAGTCTAAGTAAAGTTGGACTTGTAATATCTCCCATGGAACTGTTGTGTTGTTAAGTGCCGTCAAGTCGGTTCTGACCCATAGCGACCCTGTATAGGGTTTCCAAGGAGAGACTGGTGAGCTTAAACCACCAATTTTGCAGTTCAAACAACTTTGCAGTTGGACGCATTAGCCCACAGCGCCACACCAGGACTCCCATTGTAACAGACTATGAAAATCTTCCCCCCTCAAACTCTCCCAAATCAAAACATTGCAGGGATTTAGTCAACATCCAGAGAGTTTGTTTGAGGTCTAGATGTTAATCTTGAGCAGTCAGTCACCTACACTTGAAAATTACCAGTGTCCAGAGCCTACGCTTTCTACCCATAGATCAACATTTCCCTTTATTATTATTAACTTTGATAATTAGATCAACAGGAAACAGGACTCTACATTTTCTAATAGACTTCTTTCTAGAGGACATGTTTTGAATGAATCGCATAGTCAGTCTCTGGAGGAAAAATCATTCTGGTTCTATAATCATGTTGCCAAGAAAAAAATAATCAAGATAGTTAGGAGTGTCCATTCAACTCCCCAGACGCTTAGTTCTCGCTGATGAGTGAAATGGTACCCGACCTTATTCTCACAAAGAATGGTGGAGAGCCAGTGGGCAACTTTGGCATGACACTGAAGGCCCTGATAAAGAAAATCTGTAATAGTTTACCTGTTGTTGCTGTTGTGACATCCTGAGTCTCAGGCTGTGAATTATCAAACCAGGACCATAGCCAACTGTTTTGCTCCTGAGTTGCTGCGTGGTCATTTGAGTGCACAGGTGAGGTAACTGGATCAATTATGAAAATACCATTTAGTGAGGTCCCTCTGTAACACTTTTACTCTCAGTTCTGTCTATGTCTAATGTCAGTATCCCTGAGAGGAGATTAGAAAAGGAAAATTGAAGCCTGGTTTTATCTTGCAACTGTCTAAAGGTTCCAGAATCTTCTGATGTTCCCTGAATCTTAGGACAACATCAGCAATGCAAATTCTGTATGGATATCAATCCAATGTTAATATTTTGTTTTTCAAACTGAGTCTCCCTGAATACAGACTTAGAGCAAAATCAATCAGCAACTTCAACCCGTAATGGAAAAGATATTTTATCTACTTAATTTGAAGTCCTACCAATCAACTGAATGTGCTCGATAAAGCATTTTATGAAGTTGCTTTCATTTATCTTAGAGCATCATTGGGGGTGTTTGTCTGCATCTTTAGGGTTTGTCAATCATTGTACCAGGTAGCCTGCATCTCAAAGCTCCACCCATATGCCAATCAACCTCAATTCAAGCTTTGTAATTGACCAATAACTTTTCAAAAGATGTGTGTTCACAGTTGTTGAATTCACATAAAGGTTTCCTGAGTGCCCATCTACCACTTACCAACACTTCCATTCTAGTTTAGAATGTGCTCTCAGGAATGAAACAAGACTGCCAACTCAGAGAAATTCCAGACTCTTTCATCCAATTATTGAAAGGAAAATCAGTATAATTTCACAATTTGTAATCTCTCATCTGACTCTCAAGTTGGACTTCTAGAGTCAAGAATGTTTTCCAATAGAGGCAGACTGACAAAAATCACCAGAATAATTATATGAACCAGTTGGAATTCGTAAAAAAAAAAATCATTTTCAGTTGTATATCCTTTTGAAAGCCTGATAAAAGTTATTCCCTCTCTCCTCAGAAAAATTGATAATACATATGTACATAGTATGAAATTTTTGAATGTCATTTCAAGTGATTCTGGGACACTGAGACTCCTGAGCTCCATGAAGCCCAGTTTCTCAACATTAGGTTGATTCTATACGTGCCAAACACCAACAACCAGGATAATAGGTTCTATGCTATAAAGAATGCATTCATGAGCTCAGCAGCCCCTCTTCACCTCTGCCCTACTGCATGCATTAATGAGGCCTTGAAGGCACCTTCTGCTACTAAGTTCCAACTCTCCTCCAACAGTCAGAAGGCTTTGGACTTAGAAAACAGCAGTCTGTTTAGGAACTTAGCAATGCTTTTTGTAGTATGCCACACAGACTTTTTATGTTTCCACCTGGGTGTTTCCTTTGACTCCCTTCTTGGCATGGAGTGATCTGTTTGGAACTGCTATTGAAGAGGTAGTTCCAACTTCACCAAAGACATTCCAAGTCAACCTGAGTATCTCCTGAACAATCCATAGGCAATCTTTCTCACTTTAGAAACTTTATTAAACATGCAAAGCTTCCATAACCTCACCCTATGGTATACCAGGAAGAGACCAACAGAAAACAAACACAAGATAGAAATAAGCGATATTTCTGTCTTTCTGAAAGGAGTGTGCGAGAAGGAAAAATGGAAAAAGTTAATGCTTAGCTAGCACAGATTCCAATTTTCCTCATTCAAAGAGGCCCTGTTAAACAATATTAAAACAAAAAATCTGTTGACACCCAGAAGACAAGAAAATAGATGATTCCAAGGCAGCAGTTGGCTTCTGGGATTAGTTTAGGTTTCTGAATTCCAAACAGTTCCATATCACCAATAGGAAAGAGGCCAATCAGCCTTTCCAGGATGGCTTTTCCAAGAATAACATTTATAATAAACAACCCACTGGAAGTTGAAATCTACCCACATGGTTGTTCTTATTGGCTTTCCCTATTGCCACCCACTAAGGACTCTTCCTATGGCAGGATTGAGGCAGCCAAGCAGCCAGCAGCCCCTCTTCACCTCTGCCCTACTGCATGCATTAATGAGGCCTTGCAGGCACTTTCTGTTACTAAGTCCCAACTCTCCGTCCAACAGTCAGAAGGCTTTGGACTTAGAAACAGCAGTCTGTTTAGGAACTTAGCAATGCTTTTTGTAGTATGCCACACAGACTTTTTACGTTTCCACCTGGGTGTTTCCTTTGACTCCCTTCTTGGCATGGAGTGATCTGTTTGGAACTGCTATTGATCCTGCAGTCCTTCAATGCCTGTCAGGTCAACTAGAGACTCATTCATTGGGTGACAAATTAATTTCTCTCCTCCTTAACTACTTAAAGACATTTAGCTAAGTGTTCTGGAAGGAGGGAAGCACAATTCTTTCTCAATCCAAATTCTGAGCCATGTTCTAGTTAAGTCTAATAGCATGCCCTTTCCTTGATTTCCTTGACATAGGCTCCTGGTATGGTGCTGTATGATAAGCATTGGACACTGAGAACCACAAGATCAACAGTTCAAACCCAACAGCTACTCCTTGGAAACCCTGTACAAGGTCACTTTGAGTCAGACTTGACTTGATGGCACTTAACAACAACATATAGGCTCCATGAAGGTAGGTCTTGATTAGTATTGTTCAGTAACCAGAATCTTCTGTAACTAGAATAGATATAAGTGAGTGAATGACTATCTTAGTAATCCATACTTCCCTCTGGTATAACTTTCTATTGGTGCATTCCACTGAATCCCCAACATCTAGAAGGGACCTGATACATAGTATATCCTCAAAACATATTTGTGCAGAGTGGGAGAGGGGTGGTATGCGGACAACTGGGGGGCAGGCTTGCAGGGTATACCCTTTGGTTGGTGGATGATGCATGGAGGGGATTGTAACCATGGCAAGGAAACGATATACGACAGGATCAATGTGAAGCTAATGTCCTCCCATGTAAACGATCACATAATTCACAATAAAGCATTACAAATTTTTTTTGTTGTTGACTAACTTAGGCAGGAAAGCACAGTCTCTAAAAACAATGCTATCTATGATTGTTAATACATGTGAGGACATCAAAAAGTTCATGAAAAAATGGAATGAAAAGATACTGGAATTTTCCCACAAACTTTTAAAAATCCCCTAGTAATGTATTAATTGTCTTTTCTATAGTACATAGAAATGTTTATTGTTTTATATAGGCTATTAGCAGTTTGTGAGGACTAAGGTGCGGCTAACCCAAGCCATGATATTTTTAATTGCCTCACATGCAGGCGAACGTTGAACAATGAGTAAGGGAGACTGTAGAAGAATCAATGTATTTGAATTATGGTGTTGGAGAAGAATATTGAAAATACCATGGACTGCCGGAAGAACAAACAAATCTGTCTTGGATGAAGTGCAGCCAGAGTGCTCCTTACAAGAAAGGATGGCGAGACTTTATCTCTTGGACTTTGGACAAATTATCAGAAGGGACCAGTCTTTGGAAACAGACATCACACTTGGCAAAGTGGAGGTCAATGAAAAAGAGTAAAACCCCCAACAAGATGGACTGACACGGTGACAGCTAAAATGGCCTCAAATGTAACAATAATTGTGAGGATGCTGCAGAACCAAGCAGTGCTTTATTCTGTTGTGCAACAGAAAGTTGGTCAAAGGCAACTAGCGACAACAACATTAGCAGTAGGGAGTTCTGGCATGGCACTATAGGATAAGCAATGAATTGCTTGCTATCCGCAAGGTTGATGCTTCAAACCCACCAGCGACTCCTTGGAAACCCTATACAAGAGTGTTCTGAGTTAGAACCAAGTCAATGGCACTTAAGAGAAACAACATTAGCCATTTGAATGTTAAATTCATCTAGTCTTCACAAGATGTAAATTGCCTTCTTTGGTAGGAAATTGTACTTTAAGAGTTCTTCTTCTTCATGGTGTGACCATTAATTGTCATGCTTGCCTTACCTAACAAAACTGCATATTCTAATAATGTTGTCATGATGTGCCACTGAGTTGGTCCCAACTTATAACGACCCTGTATAGAGTTTACAAGGAGCGGTTGATGCGTTTGAACCACCGACCTTGTGGTTAGCAGTCCAATGCTTATTCTATAGTAAGTGCCACACCAGAACTCCTGTTTTCTAATAGGTACATTCAATGGTGTGGTGTGTTGTTATGTGCCATGGAGTTGGTTCCGACTCGTAGCGACCCTGTACAGGGTTTCTGAGGCTGCAAATCTTTATGGGAGCAGAAAGCCTCATCTTTCTCTCATGGAGCAGTGAACCGCAAGGTCAGCAGTTCGAAACTACCAGCTGCTCGCGGTAGAAAGACGTTCAATGTGGCTACTTTTAAAAGGCTGGGAACCCAAGAGGCAGCACAGGTTCATGAGATTGTAGGACTGTTCACAGAACTGCAACCAATGAGGGGACACAAAGTCAGGAGAGCCAATAATCCTAGAAAGCATGGGCAATTTGAAAAGATCTGGGTTTTGAAATGCTTCAGGGGATGAGTACAACCCCAGGCCTCTCTATCATGCCCTCAGCAAGCTGCTACCAGAAAGAGAAAAAACTGTTGAGCAAGGAAACTCACTCAGTGGTCTTGAGACTTCCCTGGCTTCTGGGTGATGTACAGAATAGAAAGGGGCCCAGTTGTGAGCACTCGCAAACCAGTTAATTCCTGCCACACAATTTGGAGGACCAGAGTTCCACCCCTCAAGAGCCACAGCTAGGAAAAGAGAAAATCCAGACCATATTTGGAAAGCAGCTCAAGATGCAGATGCCTGTTTAAATTTGAATCATCCTCTAGAGAAGGAAGGCGCCCAATCAAGAAATTGGTTAGAAAACAAGCTATAGAGAAACACGAAAAGAGGCAAGAGAAGATGGAGACACAAGGGAGATGTAAACACTTGTTAAGGAAACCGAAGCACAGTGGGAATATCCCACACTATCTAATGAAGTGTTTACATATTTCCCTTCTTGAAGTTCCAAGGAATAAATAACCCATATACACCAAATGAGTGTTGGGAGCGTTCCTCACCAGAGTGGCATACAGAAAGCTTAAGCTGATTTAATTTGACCCAATAAACCCCCCAAATATGCTTATTTGAACCCAAAACAAAAGAAACACATGGCTCACGAGTATCACTGAATATTATACACTTAATAACGAGCACAAATTAAGTGAAAATATGAAAATATAAAGTAAAAAAGGTAGCAGATGAAATGGCATCTATCTGCTATGATCCCAACTTTATGAAAACAATCTTATCCATGGGTAGATAAGAGCATGAAAGAAACACACAAAATGGAAATAACTTTTGTTATCAGGCTTGGGTCCCTGGGGACAAGAGAAAAAGTGAAGCTCTTTTATAAACTTCCAATGTGACACTTCTTGTCCCAAAGTAAGAAAAATGGAGTTGTACATACCAAAAAAGATAAAAAAAAAAATAAAATAAAATAACATAGGCAGTAGCCATCAATGCATATAGAACGCAATGACCAGATAGCCCACCTCCCTGGATGATGTCACCTATACCTAGAAATAGGAGAAAATCAACATAGGAGCACATATCATTTAGGAAGGTCAGAGACAGCAAAGGAATGGCTATTGGAAGCACAGTGATTCATTCTCCTTACTGGTAGTTGGCGTGTCCTCTGTGTTGTCTGAGGGCCAAGTACTGTCTTGACCTTGAGACGGGTCTATGGTTGGAAGGAGGGTGTGAAAGATGTAGCCTCTTGATGTGCTTCGCTCAGTGGACGATCCACCGCTCATGTCATCCTCAGTTACGTTGCTGGGATTGATGTCTTCAGGGTTGGTTCTGTATTCTCCTTTCTTGGTGTAGCGGGTGCCATCACGGTTAACAATAGCTGAGAGAAAGAGAAGGAACTTTCAGAACTTCACAGCTGATATTTTCTGAGGAGAAGAAAGACTGTGAATTACTCCATAACTTTCTGTTGTGGTAAAGTGCCGTCAGGTTGGTTCTGACCCATAGCAACCCTGTATAGGAGTGGCTGGTGAGCTTGAACCGCCGACTTTGGGGTTCAAACAGATTTTGCAGTCCAGTGCATTAGCCCACAGCGCCACACCAGGACTACTACTACACAAGAGAGTGACTTGAAATTTGTTTTCTTTTCCACTAAGACAAACAACACCTAGATACCTATCTCGTATGTAGGATAGAGTGACTGGTACATTAAGGGAGTGTATCCTCCTGCCATTGGACTAAGAAGAGAAATTAAGATGTATTTATTTGACAGTCCCCAAGTTTGAATCCAAGCTTCATTGTTACTAGCTATGTAGTTCTAGACACAAGAACTCCCTAAACTCATATTCTCATTTGTAAATGGGGATGTTAATACTTTCTGAATGGGATCGTTTTAAACATTTAATGATGCATTGTATGTAAAGTGCTTACTGCAGTTTTCAAAAAATGATAGTTCTCCCACCTGGTTCCCTAATCTTCCTTCTTAAGTAGATGTACAATTTGTGGGTATTAATTTCATCTCATTCAGAAAGGATCTGAAGTACCAGTTGAAGAGAAAACTAGCCTCCACAGGTAAGATTTATTTACATATCCATGATTAATTGGGTTACCTTTCCATGGGGCAAATTTCATCCATTTAGGAGAACTCCTACTCCTGGCTATGAAACCTGCATGTCTAAATATTGACAGAGCCTCTGCCATCCTCTGTGAAATTCAACCTTGAAATTAACAAGCATGCCTGTATATGAAGAAGATCAAAAACTTTGATTTGAACAAGCAAATGACAAGAGGGGACAGAAAGAAAAAAAGGAAGAATGAATTTATTCATTGTTCTTTCCTAAAAGAGTTTGCTGCCTTCAAAGTCTTAGCCATTCTGTATACTAGGGTCCATTTAGGTGAAATTATTTTCGGCCATATTGTACTGGTGGGACCAGACATTCCTTTTGCCCACCTATGTAGTATGTCCAACTGGAACGTCTAATAAAGCATAAATGCAAGTAAATAAACAAAAATGCTACCGTATCAATCACCTGGATGATTTCTGCAAATGAAAACTTAATAAGGAAATAGAAAGGGGCTTCAAAAAGTTCATGGAAATGTGGAATTAAGAGATAACGAGATTCCCACCAACTTTTTGAAGCCCCTTCATATGGATCTAGACTTTGAATGAGATCTTTGAGGACCAAAGAAATGGGACATTTCTTGATTATCCACTTAGGGTGATAATTTGTCTTGCTTATGCTGGACATTATCATCAGGAAAGATCCGTCACTAGATGAAGGCACTGTGTTTGGTAAAGTGGAGAGTCAGAAAAAATGAGGAAAATGCTCCATGAGACAGATTGGCATGGAGCCGAAACAACGCAATGAGGCATACGAACGACTGTGAAGATGGAGCAGAACTGGGCAAGCTTCCTTCTGTTATACATAGGCCGCTTCTACCTGAGTGGGAACCAACTTGGTGACAACTAACAACTCTGATCCAGGCTACAGTAGACATATCATCTCTCCTAATTTTTATAGCAATTCTCATTGTTCCACTAAGTGTGAGAAAACTAAGTCTCCAAAAACCTTAAGACACTCCTCTGAGATCACCCAGATGGTAAGTAAGTAGAATTGCAAACCAGGCCTGACTAAAATGGCACATCTGACATGGTGATCATTGTGATATGAGGCTGCCCTATCGCATACACAGACCAGGGAAGTGCCTTCTATAATAGTGGGGGGACTAGATTGATGTCATCTGGGAAGATCCTCCCCTCCCTTCAAGTACCAGCACAGTTACATGCACACTGAACAGGTCTGACTCAGTGGCTCCTCAACACTGGGACATTTCTCAAAGAAATGGACTCAAATGCAGTGAGATCCGGGTTAACAGGTATAGGTTTTGAGGTTCTGGTTGGGGATTTTCTGCTTTTCAAAGTACAACTACATACTTCTTTGGGTAACCCAGATGATTTCAGATGAACATGGTATTGTTGTTGTTGTTGTTAAGTGCCGTCGAGTCGGTTCCGACCCATAGCGACCCTGTACAGGGTTTCCGAGGGTGTAAATCCTTATGGGAGTAGAAAGCCTCATCTTTCTCCCGCGGAGCGGCTGGTAGTTTCGAACCACTGACCTTAAGGTTCGCAGCCCGATTTGTAACCACTACGCTACCAGAGCTCCTTGAACATGGTATAACTAATGTGAAACACATTCTAGCAAACACACACCCTTCATCAATACCTTTCCATACTTCTATTACATCAAACAGAAAATCCTTCTTTGGAGGCACAGTGCTCCTACCCCTAACATTGTTAGCCCCCCACCATAGAATTTAAGAACGTTCTTTAATTTTTCCTTATGTTCAAATTTATTTTTAAAGTTACCTTCTACTTCTGACAAGTGATGCTGCTTTTCCATTTACAATTTCCATTTTAAAGATAAATGCATTTTGATTTAAAATAAATGAGTCAACTAAAAGAAAAAATCAAGTAAACGATAGTACACGGATAAGAAAAAAAACCAAATGTGAAAGTGGTTTTGAAATGACGGCAATTTGAGGAACAATGTATTAGGGCAAACCAGAGAGCAGTTTTAATCCAAAGCAGAGAAAGAGGAAGAGATATTGAATCACAGCTAACCATCACCAGTCTGAAGGGAGGACTGCTGCTGTTCTATTAAAATATAAAACAGCAAAGTCACCTGGCCTCTTTCCTAAGAATGGGAAAACTCAGTAAAGATTAGAAGAGATACTTACTTATAGTAATTGGTCCATCAAAGGCATTGGGCAGGTCTGTGACTGATGTACAGTCTTCTTTGTCTTCTGGAGCTAAGGGTAGAAAAAGAAAGGCATGAGAACACTAAAAAGCATGGGCATAATCTATACCCACTTCTAATAATTACATGCAGTTTTATTATAACTTGCCCCAAATAATTTTCTTTTTTGGAAACTTAAGGTGAGTGTGCTAGGAACTTCAGTGATCTTTCTAATGTATTTTCACTTTTTAATTAGCTTCATAAACTTCTGGAAACTTCATCGTTCCCCTATCTGCCTCAATAAATCCACTCATATATATATATGTGAGGCACTGTAGGCTAGGTGTTGGACTGCTAAAAGCTCACTGCAAGATAGGCAGCTCTGTGGAAGAACGATGGAGCTGTCTGTTCCCATGAAGATTTCCAGACTTGGATACCCTAGATCGATTCGCTAGGAGTCAGAGTCAACTCAACGGCAGTGGGTTTGGTGTTTGGGATCTAAATGTGTGTGTATGTGTGTTAAAGAGCAAGGACACCATTTTGAAAACTGTGTACCTGCTCCAAACCATAATATTTTCAGCTTTCTCATGTGCATGTGAAAGCTGGACAATGAATAAGGGGGACTGGAGAAGAATTAATGCATTTGAATTATAGCATTGAATAAAAATACTGAAAGCACCATGGACTACCAGAAAAATAAACACATCTGTGTTGGAAGAAGTACAGCCAGAATGCTCTTTAGAAGGGAAGGTGGCGAGACTTCGTCTCGTGTACTGTGTTATCAGGAGGGACCAGTTTCTGGAGAGGGACATCATGCTTCGTAAAGTAGAAGGCCCATGAAAAAGAGGAAGCCCTAAAAAGATGCATTGACACAGTGCACTCAAACACTACAATTGTGAAGATGGTGTGGGACTTAGCAGTGTTTTGTTCTATTGTGCATAGGGTTGCTCTGAGTAGGAACCAGCTCCACAGCACTTCACAACAACAGCAATATGTGTTTGGTATATTGATATAATAGGAGCTCTGGTAGCATAGTGGTTATGAGTCGGGCTACTAGCCTAAAGGTCAGACGTTCAAAACTATCAGCCATTCTGCAGGAGAAAGATGAGGCTTTATGCTCCCATAAAGATTTACAGCCTCAGAAACCCTATGCAGGGTCGCTATGAGTCAGAATCAACTCCATGGCAAACCACCACCACCATATTGATATTGTGGAAGGTTGGGGTACAATGGTCAATAAGATAAACATGGTCCTTCTCTAATAAAACTTACATAAGAAAGGATTTAAAATTTTTATTATTATAAGATAATGACAGACTTCTAGACACAAGGTCTGTAGTTCAAACCCACCAGTCATTCTCGGAAACCCTATACAGAGTAACTCTGAATCAGACTTGACATGACGACACATGACAAAACCAGCATTATTATAAAAGCAATGTGCTGAACATTCTAAAAATGAAAAAAATAGAGATATCTATAAATTATAATGAGAAAATCATTTGTAATCCCAGAAATCTACAAAGACAATGGGAAAACATAGCAGACACACCTGATCAAACGTATCAAGATGAATGACAACCTCAAGATTAAAATAATCAACAAAGAATTTACTTGATAGAAATATTTTTAAACAAATTAATTTTCATGTTTATTAATGAATCCATTTATTTATTGAATTAATCTTTTTTTATACCTACTCTGTTCTGAGCAGTCCTAGTATGGTGTTGTAGGATAAACACTAAACTGCTTCTTGGAAACCCTATACAAGGTCACTATGGGTTTGAACTAACTCAATGGCAGTTAACAACAACAACAATTCTGTGTTGAAAGAGCCCTGGTGGCATAGTGGGTAAAGCACTATCTGAAAGGTTGGTGGTTTTCAACATACCATCTGCTCACAGGTGAAAATGTAGCAGTCTGCTTTAGTAGAGATTTCCAGCCTTGGAAACCCTATGGGCAGTTTTACTCTGTCCTATGGGGTCACTGTGAACCAGATTTGCCTCAATGGCAGTGGGTAGTGGTGGACTCTGTACTGGTTGCTTCTCAGCATTTACTATCTGAAGCTGGCCACCTTTGATCTTGTTGTTGTTAAGCCATCGAGCTGGTTCCAACCCATAGTGACCCTGTATAGGGTTTCCAAGAAGCAACTGGCGAGTTTGAACTGCCGACCTTACAGTTCAAACTGACCTTGTGGTTGAGTACTTATCCTACAGTACCACACCTCTAGGCATCCCCTACATTTTCTGAGTCTACATTACTTTTGTGGTGCTGTAGGATCAGCCCTGGACTGCTAATCCCAAGGCTGCTGGTTCAAAACAACCAGCACTCCTTGGAAACTCTATACAGGGTTGCTACGAGTTAGAACTGACTTCATGGTACTTAGCAACAACATTTCTGGTAGTCTTCTGAGCAGCTCTGCTTAAAGCCCTATGAAAATAGGTCCTGAAAGGTTCACTGAGTATATCATCCCTTGGGATCCTAAAAGATGATTCCAGATAAGCTTAACCGACAGTTCACTCATGCCAAAACGCTCTATGCAGTCACTAAACTCTGAAAACTTAGAGAGCTTTAGACTGGTTTTGCTGCTAAACAAAAGTGGTATGCATTTTTCACTTTTACACCAGGGTGTGTTTTTAAGTTTAAAATGGCATGTTATTTGATAAATTGTTTTTCTTCTAGAGTTGCCCCTTGTCAAAAAGAAGGACCAAGGGGATGGATGGAATGGGTGAAGGTAAGCAAACAAGGAAGTCTGCTACAGGTGTTTTAAGCCTTACACAACATTTTGTGGTAAGATGCTTAAAACACCTGTAACAGGGGAGGGGAGAGAACAAAACAAATTTCATTTGCTTCCTAATCCCTGGGAGCATCTCTTTCCACAGATGGAGAGGATGTCGTTTACTTGTCTATTTTTTGGCCTCATAAGGAAACTGTCAGTTTTCACATTCAGCTGTAGATAAGTAAGTTTTAGGAAAAACCATTCTTGCAAAGGTTGATCTAAGAGATTTCTTAGAAGAGCAGCTCGCCAGGGAAAGGTCACTTCCTTGGTGAGGCCATTCTCCACCATCAAATCCATCCCTTTGTCCACACCCATCACCATCATATGCCACCCTGTTCACATTTTGTCTCCAGACTCCATACACAAGATGGTGGTGGTGGTTATGTGCAGTGGAGTCGGAACCGACTCATAGCGACCCTGTACAGGGTTTCCGAGGCTGTAAATCTTTACAGGAGCAGAAAGCCTCATCTTTCTCCCATGGAACAGCTGGTAGTTTCAAACTACTGACCTTAGGTTCGCAGCCCAATTTGTAACCACTACGCTACCAGAGCTCCTTTCCATACTCAAGATAGCTAATGTTAGCTGGTTCATTTGGCTTGATGGCTATCAATGGCACATCTCTCAATTCCTACGCTCAATGACACTAATACACCACTATGCTGTGTTATTAAGTGCCGTCGAGTCAATTCCAACCCATAGTGACCCTGTATAGGGTTTCCAAGGAGCAGCTGGTGAGCTTGAACCACGGACCTTACAGTTCAGATGACTTTGCAGGCTGACACATTAGCCTACAGTGCCATCCTAGCACTCCAATACATCCGTATGTTGTTGTTGTTAGGTGCCATTGAGTCAGTACAGCACAGCAGAACGAAACACTGCCCGATCCTGGGCCAAGCCCACTAATGTTGCCACACTTGAGTCTATCGATGCTGCCGTTTGGCCAATCCATCTCGTTGGGGGTCTTCCTCTTTTCCTCTAACCCTCTCCACCTTACCAAACAAGATATCTTTCTCCAGTGACTGATCCCTCCTGACAATATGTCTGAAGTATGGAGATGAAGTTTGATTATCCTGGCCTCCAAGGAGCACTCTGGCTGCATTTCTTCCAACACAGATCTGTTTGTTCTTTTGGCAGCCCATGGCACTTTCAGTATTCTCCTCCAACACCATGACTCAAAAGCATTAATTCTTCTATGGTCTTCCTTATTCGTTGTCCAGCTTTCACATGCATATGAGGTTATTGAAAATACCATGGCTTGGGTCAGGTGCAATTTCGTCCTCAATCTGACATCTTTGCTCTTCAACATTTTAAAAAGTGTTTTTTACATCCCCATAGTAATATGTAAACTTCACAAGATGAGTATAGCCTTATCTGTCCTCTCCAGCATGCTTATGAGTGATGGGAGCAGGGGAATACTCAACAAATATTTGTGAATGAATGAAAAGGAGAAAAAAGTATTAATGTAATTAACAGGCTAAGAGTCTGTTCTCTCAGTAAGCATAGCTAATATGTTAACCTGTAAGATAGTCTGTAGATATAAACAGGTTCAAGGAGAGTTAACATAACATATGGAAACACCATAGGAAATAATTAAAGGAAGTTAAGGATAGGGCAATTTACTTACTTATTTTAAACATTTACTCAATACTTATATGATAGATTATATAATAAAATAGGATAAAAGAAAGAACTATATTCCTGTCCCTACTTTGAGGAATCCACAAAGTCATTGGGAACAAGAATAACCAATAATTATTTTCTTTGTATAGTTTTCTGAAAACTTTCCCAAGTTTTTCAGAAGTAGATCACCAAGCCTTTTTCTGAGGTATCTCTGGGTGAACTGAAGCCTCCAATTTTTTGGTTAGCAGCCAAGAATGCTAACTCTTTGTACCACAAGGGACTCTGGGTTAGAAAAACCTCCCTCAGAATCAAACATAGCTGCAAGTAGTAGTTGTATGCTGGGAACCTCCAGGAATAAAGTTTTAATAGAATGGGGCACAAGGTTAAAAAAAAAAAAAAGAAGAAGCTACTAAGATAGTTTTGTTCAAAAGGACCCTTTCATGCGCCAATTCACCTTTGCCTTTTCAAAGAATATCAAATTTGGCAAGCATACTAACATGGATGGTGGTCCAAATGTGCAATTAAGGTGCTCATGTAGCTGTGTCAGAAAACAGGGTCTCATTAGATCGGCCTCAGTTCCATTTATTGAGCATTGTGCTGCAAGGAGACTCAGGGCTGGTGAAGCTTTCCTGAACCCAAGCAACTGTTAGAAAGACTCTGAGGTCTGGTGAGCTATGTTCTCAAAACCGTGGCTCCACACATATAAAAATTGATAGAAACATTCATTACTCAGTCTGACCAATCACCAAGTGCCACATATGGAGGCATATTCCAAAATGTTTGATACATTCTAGGGATCCACAAGATATGTGTTGAATAACTCATGAAATAAATAAAGTAATGAGTGCAGAGCCCCGCTCTAAATTCTACCTTCAAAAGACAATGAACGTGATGGTTATAACTGATTTTACTGAATTATGTTGTTGTTGTTGTTGTTATGTGCTATGGAGTTGGTTCTGACTCATAGTGACCCTGTACAGGGTTTCCGAGGCTGTAAATCTTTACGGGAGCAGAAAGCCTCATCTTTCTTCCGCAGAACAGCTGGTAGTTTCGAACTACTGAATTATACATGTGAAAAATGTGGAATAGGTAAATGCTGTATTCTTTATATTTTTATAATAATACAATTTTCAAGAGAGTGAGAAATTTCACTGAAAGCAAACTTCCAAAATAAACAAAGTCGACTCAATCCTCTGTGGTGTTCACTCAGAGGTCAGTGGGCCTTACAGGTGAGAGGGAAGACAATCTAAATCATGAAGCCTTTTCAAGGGTCTGCTTTTATTGCTGTGTTTAAGTCAAACGTCATTTTTCACAAAAATACTGCTGGGAATTTATGCTGATAGAAGCTATGTGATGAGACTACGCTGCTTTAGCACCTGTGGTAGGTTGATGGAAGGATCACACCACGGGGACTTAGCCCCCCGTTTAAAGTTATCAGGCCAAGCCAGGCTTAAGGCTCTTTTCAATGAGATTCATTTCGTGGAGCAGAAGACTGTCAAGGTCTTTAGTTTACTATCATTTGCTTCTAAACCACAGGTGACAAATGTCTGGCCTGCAGGCCTCAGAAAACCCTCAAAGTCATTTGGTCTGACCTTGCCAAGGCAACCGCAGTGGCAGCCATCACACTGCTGTTGTTGTTAAGTACTGTTGAATCAGTTCCAACCTACAGTGATCCTGTGTAGGGTTTCCAAGGAGTGGCTGGTGAGCTTGGACCACCATCCTTGAGGTTCAAACCAGCCTTGCAGTCCAGTGCATTAACCTGCAGCGCTACCCCAGGCATCACATTGGTGGTGGTGGAGGTGGTGTGCCGTGGAGTCGGTTCTGACTCATAGCGACCCTGACAGGGTTTCCAAGGCTGTAAATCTTCATGGGAGCAAAGAGCCTTGTCTTGCTCCCATGGAACTGCTGGTAGTTTCAAACTGCTGACCTTGAGGATAGCAGCCCAATTCGTAACCACTACACTACCAGAGCTCGTTAATTAAATGTTTGATCAAATATAGCAGGCTACTTTTTAAGTTGATACTATTGTATCACCCAAGAATGATACTATAAATTGCTACAGAAAAAAAGGTTCCCCACCCCTGTTCTAAACCAAGACATTTATTGTTGTTGTTTAGTGCTATCAAGCAGGTTCTGACTTATAACTACCCTGTATAGGGTTTCCAAGGAGCAGCTGGTAGGTTTGAACCATCGACCTGTGGTTAGCAGTGAAGTGCTAATTCCAAAGTGCTGCACAAACCAAGACATTTAGAATTTTTTACTTTAGACACATACTCTTCTCCATTCCTTTTCTGCTTTTTTTTTGGTCTGGGTGCTTCAATAAGATAGTTAAAGCCTTTACGACAAGAAACAGAGCTCCTGGCTCTTTCCTTACTCAGCTCTGCCTACTAAGCACATATAGTGGATCAATGAATACTCTTTAAAAATTAAGAAGAGATGTTAAAGTAAATCCTGGTGGGGCACTCTAGGATAAGCATGCTGCCTCGGAAAGGGAAATCCTACCCAGGGTCACTATGAGTCATAACCGACTCTACAGCACTTAACATCAGCATCAACACTGAGTAAATGTGGAAAATAGAGGAAAAGAAAAACATGACTCCTGACTTTACTCCCTTCATTCAGTCATCTGGGTAAGTGATAAAACACCACTTGCTGTCCAGTTGGTTCCAACTCACTGTGACCCCATGTGTGTCAGAGTAGAAGTGTGCTCCTTAGATTTACAATGGATGCTGTTTTGAAAGTCCTTTCTTCCAATGTACCTCTGGGTGGATGGAACATCCCCATGACCACCACCACCACCAGTAAATCTCAGTTTTCAACTAAAATAGAACTCCTCTCCCCCAGAAGAGATGAAGGTTTATAAATATTGCTGACTCTGTATTTCATGGCCAAGTCCAACCTCTTGGCCAAACATAAGAACAAGGGAAAACACCTCAGTAGCAACCTGCCTAGATGGCTTCAAGTCCAGGTAATAAAACAGTAAACTTCTACCTTTTTGAGTTAAGGGTTTTTCTGGCCAGTGATACTAACTGGTAAAACTGGTGAGACCATGTGAACACACAACTACATAATATATTGCATGTACTCATTTGTCAAAGTTCAGTGGGAAAAGCAACAAGCAGTAAGCCCAGAGATGCTCAGGAACCTGCAGTCTGTCCCTTTCCCAAGTGACTAGTCTCTGCATCTAAAGCACAAAGTCTTCCCAAGGTGGCCCCTGTTCGTTTGTAGAGCAAACTAGGCCCTTTGAGTCTATATCCTCTGTGCTTTATTTGCAGGTGGTTTTCTCATTATAATGGGACTAGAATGAGGAACTGGGACTGAGCCTTACACTGTTTGATCTCATTTGGATTCTCTCTTCCCTTTGGTCAAACTCCATGCATATTCTTTGCTTATTTAACAGGCAGAAGTAAACATTCTACAGCTTCCTTCATTTTGCTCTGTGTCTCTTCTCCATAGGTTTAGTGACCTGGGTATATATTTGTCCTGATTTACTGATTCCACATACTTTATCTGAGCAGCCTTGATACTTTCCTTTTCCCCTAAACTCTAGAAGTCACCCCCTCTGAATTCCCACTCTGATTCCTGTTGCTCACCCCAAGATGGAATGGTGGTGTAGCTTACACCCACTGAGGTAATCTCACAACTTCTTTGAGGTCCCTATTTTACCTTAAAACTCCATGCAAATTTTATATTCAATTACCATATATCACATCTGTGCTTGTCTTAAACAAATAATGCCTTCCTTAAGTTATTTTCCAGTTAACTTAATGTTCCATCTTCAAGGGAAACTGACTCTCCTAACATGTGTGCCAAATTTGTCCTGTGGCTTTGTCTTCTCCTTCACACAATCTCAAATCTAGACTGTTGGCATTCAAAAATTTGAGATTATGGTTCTGATCCTTCTTAAAGATCCTGAAAATCCTTGATTCTTTAATTTTTCTAGGGTTTGAATTTGACTTGTAAGCATGTGCATCTAGGTTACGATTGAAATCAAGTCCCAGAGACAGAAAGGAACTCAGCTAGCTGCTCAGTGGCCACATCTTAACTTGGCTTTCTTATTCTCTAGTTACTAGGCTCTGTAACATTTGGGCAAGGAACACTTAAGAAGGTCAAGAGCCTCCAGTATTTCCTTCCAACCTGCTCTCTCACCTCCAAATATTACTAAGTAACTCTCAACTAGGCTGTGTGGCTTATGCCCAACTTTAGCATTAGATTCAATCACTCCCCTATTCAAAATCCCTAAGTGACTTCTCTCACACTGAGAACTGAATCCAAACTCTTCAGTATGGGCCACAAGGCCCTGTATGATCCAACCATTGGTTAACTTACTGAGTGCTTTCCTTGACATTCTGCCTTCTGGTCACCATGCTTTAGCAACTCTGGCCTCAGCGCTGTTCTCTTAACAAGCTGAGTTGCTCCTGCTTGCCTGATGTTGTGCTAGCTGTCCCCTCTGCCCAGAGCTCACTTCCATCAGGGGTCTCCTAAAGCCACCCCTCAAGAGTGCTTTTCTTGACCACCGTCCCTAATATCATCCCCAGCACTCTTTATTTAGCTCCTAATTGTGCTTTCTTTATCATGATTTTTATGCTAATCAAAATTTTTCTTTTGCATTTACCTTTTCCTTCTTCTTCTTTTTTTTTAACTTTTCATTGTGCATTGAGTGATGATTCACACAGCAGATCATCAGGTTTCATTCAAGAAATTATACACTTGGTTTCATGTCAATGACAACAATCCCCTCAATTTAACATCACTTAGCCCACTTCCTCCTTGTGTATCTTGTTTCCATACCTTCCTCTTTCCTGAGCCGTCTGAATTTTGTCTTTGGGTTAATGTTGTCCTATTGCTCTTGAGTGTTTGATCATTCCATGGTGATGTACCTCACTGGTGCTGTTGTCCCCCTTAACACCTATCTATTGCTTAGCTGAAAATTGAGCCATGAGGGTGAGTTCAGTTCCAGACCTGTAGGGTGACTGAGGGCCTAGTCTTGGGGTTCCACCAGTATCTCTATCTGACCAGTAAGCCTGGTCATTCTTATGATTTTCCCCCACTCCACCCCGACCTTCTAACGTAATTCCTGTCAGAGCAGTTGGTAGTAGCAACCAGGCACCATCTAGTTCTCGTTTCAGGATTGTAGAGACTGATGTTCACATGATCCATTAGTTCACTTGGACTAATTATTTCCAGATGACTAATATTTTCATCATTTTTCTTTCCTCTGGACAGGGAGGCCTTCTCTTTTCTTTGTTATATTGTTGTAAAAAAAATGTAGATACCACAACATTTGTCAATTCAACATTTTTCACATGCACAACTCAATAAAGCCAATGACATCAATCATGTTGTGCAACCATCACTAAAGTCTTTGCCAAAGTTTCCATCTCCATAAACAAAAGCTGGAAGCTATAAACAATGAGTTCTGTGTCTCCCTACCCCTCTGGCCCCTAGTATCCCTCTTTGACTTCATATGAGGGATTGATTGTCTGACCCCCAGCTTAGCCTGGAAGCTCCGTGGAGATAGGAGTCTTGTTTGCTGTAGAGATTTTCAGTGAATATTTGTTCTATGGAAGCTACTCTAGCGCTGGGGTCAAACCACTGTCAGTGATACTGCCAAATGTTGCAAAAAGTCACCCAAAAAACAAAGGCAATCCACTCGGAACTAACCTGAAGCATTGAAGCAATATGTGTCGTACTGGGAGGTGTTAGACGTGAGGATGTACACCCCTGTGTTGTTGGCTGCACAGATGGAGTTAGGGTTGATCCGGGGGATCACCACATGCCCTTCTATGAACCCGTACCTGTCAAAGAAAAACAAAAGGTTACCAATTTGCAAGACTATGACAGGGATTTCATAACACCCCTGGGATGACATTTAAGGTAGTGCAACATTTCATTCAATTCACCCCTAGGGATGTTAGAGGTTTCAATAATTGAGGTATGTGAAATCCAAAAATAATAGCAAAGGAACAGAGGAAACGAGATCAACAAAGCTGAATAGAGTTACAAGGTGATTTATTTAGAGATCTAAGAAGAGATTTCTAAATCTCTTTTTTTGTTTTGGTTTGTTTTAATAAAGAAGATTCATGAAAGAAAAAGTATTGGTTTCAAAGAAAATTTGTGGTCAGTGGTATCAAGTAGGTTTGAATGAGGGAAGGAAAGGCCAGGGCAGGTACCGGAGAGGGCAGAATGCCCAGCTGATGACGTGAGAGTCACCCCTGCTCTGGATTGCCTTCACAGTTTCTAGAAAGCACGTTTTTGATGATCAGCTCCCACAAGCTAGGGAATAAGTGGCTGTTCATCGTAGTCTACAAATTTCAAACTCAGGGTGTCCAGGAGGTGAGTTTTGGCATGGTGTCGCTCCTTAGTTTCCACCCCCTCCACCCCCAACTCTTTTTTCCTAACTCCACACTCCAGTATCCCAAAGATGAAGCTTGGCTTATATGCCAAGTATACAGTCCCTTTCACCCCATGAAGATACCGATCCTAATTCTATTGCCAGTAGTAACAAATGGGCCATTATGGAAAAGAGAGTCATCATAATTCAATAGATAGCACAGTCTCTGGGTGGTGAAAGCAGTCAATACCCAGTGGCTAGCTCAAAGCAGAAGAAAGGCCTGGCGATCTACTTCCAAAACATTAGCCATTGAAAATGCTATGAAACACATTTCTCTGACACACATGGGTCACAGGTAAAAGTAGGTAGCAATGCTGCCTTGACCGCAGAGTTTTTCCCTAAGCGCTGAAGCCCTTCATCCCCACCAGGAAGTTTCTGGGAGCATGCCTTTTCAGGTACAACATTCAGCATCCCTTTACTTTAATGTATTCACTTATTCCACTATTTCTTCTGAAATATGAAGTGCCTCAAAATACGATATGAGGCCTGAGAAAATACCATTTGCAAGGAAAGAGATAGTGTCATGGGGAGGGCAGAGAGACAGAGCAACTAAAGTCATCAGGCTTTGGAAAATGTTTTGTTGTTGTTAAGTGCCATGGCGTCAGTTCCAACTGATAGTGATCCTGTATAGGGCTTCTGAGGCTTTAAATCTTCAAAGGAGCAGAAAGCCTCATCTTTCTCCCGCAGAGTGGCTGGTGGGCTCGAACCGCTGACCTTGTAAGGCTGGTTAAAATGTACAACAGAGATCCTTTTCATCTTTCCTGCCAGGGCCAAGAATAGGGAGTGCAGAGACCACAAGACCCCAAGGAAATGTGGAAGTTTGACATTTTTAAACACATATAACTCATTAAGTCTATGTTGCAATTGTAGCTCACATGACTAATTCTTCATTTGAATGGACAGACTGGTTTCTCTGAAATCGCCTCAGCTTGGTGAGGGAGGGGATGCAATTAAATGTTAATAAGTTTCCATATATCTGAGAATTGCTACTAATCAGGGTGGGGCAGACAAAAAGAGTAGCTGCTACAGTTTTATCCTAGCCTGGGAGACTCTGCCATCTGTCCTCTGGCAGACAGCTGATTCATAGTTACTGGAGTGAAATTAGGGAAATGAGTTTTGCAACACTTAATACTACTTATGGGTGGAACGATAAATTTCTTTGGCACAGTGTATTTTTTGGGGTAGTAATAACCCGCGGGAAGCCCACGTACCCCTCCCATCGTATTGCCAAGTATGGATAGCACTGGCATTCTAGAATCGAATGCAATTCCTTTAAGTTTTACTGTGTTTTCAACATATCAGGTCGACTGTGAGTTCTATGTGCCACACTATAAATGAGTTGGAGCTATTAAAATGTGTATTTTACTCTATGGCAGGATAATTTACTATTCTCAGGGAGAAAAGAACATTCAGCAAATATTTTCATTTTACTTTTGCTCTCAGTTTCTCAGGGTGGCTTGATCCCTAAGATCTGGCTTCTGGGCACAGGTGAAGCAAGATCTTCCTAACTCCTTCACCTACAAGTGGTTTGGTCCAGGCTTAAATGCAGAATGGCAGTAAGCCTGCGTTCCTTCAGCCATAAAATGGTGTAATAATACTCAACCTTCCATGGAGTGTGAGGATTGTGGTGAGTGGGCAGCAGTTCTCCTAGGAAGTAAAGCTCAATGTTTAGCCAGTGGCAATAGTAGGAACTTCTCGTAGTTCTCTGTACATGAAAACATTTCTGTGTTTCACAATGATGTCTTGTCTGTATTTCACAAATGACAATATAGCTTGCTAAATCCACTTTATTCTGCTAGTGGCTACTTACCACCATGCTTAATGGTTAGCCTTGGGAATAGAATAAATGGATTTGCTAATGGACCTTCCTTCATGTCTGCTGTCCAAGATCAGTGGCACCCAGAGCTTTCTCCTTTTCTCTGAGCTGATATATTTCCTCAGACCAAGATGTGAACACATATAAACACCCATGGCCGGCTGGTCGATCTGCCATGAGACACAGAGTAAAATTTCACCATACAGTTGTCTTGTTTGTAATCTTGACTAAAGCAGACTGCCAGACAGTTTTTACCCAGTGCTACTTGGTGAGTCCAACCTCGAGCCTTTAAGTTAGTGTTGTTGTTGTTATTGTTAAGTACTGTGGAGTCAGGGTTTCTGAGGCTGTAAATCTTTACCGGAGCATAACGCCTCATCTTTCTCCCGCGGAACCACTGGTAGTTTCAAACTGCTGACCTCAATTGAGGTCATAACCACTCAAGCACAAACTGCTTGTGCCATCCAGCGATCTTTTGTTGTTGCTGTGTACCGCTGAGTCGCTTCCCACTCATAGTTCTGCGTGCTGTTGAGTAGAACAGACCCAAAGAGAGTCCCATTCTTTTCAGGAGCAGGTCACCAGATATTGTTTTTTTTTTCCCACAGAGCAGTTAGTGGGTAAGTAACTTTTGGTGAGTAACTAAGTGTTTGACCACTGGAACCATCACTGAATGCTTGACCATTGCTCTTCTGAACACACATAAACCAAACCAAACCAAACTCATTACCACTGGATCAATTCCGACTCACAGTGACCCTAGAGGACAGAATGGACCTGCCCACAGGGTTTCTACGGCTGTATTCTTTACGGGAGCTGATTGCCACATCTTATCTTTCTCCCACAGGTTCACGGTGACACTAGGGCTCATCTGATCACCTACAGATGCCTATAAGCATCTGCTTTATTTACTCCAGAGCAATGCTGCCCAACGGAACTTTCTGCCATGATGGAAATTTCCTATTATTTGCCTTGTAACCACTAGCCGATTGTGGCTAATTTAGCACTTGGATTGCAGTTTGTGTCACTGACGCAGAGAAGTTCTAATTGTATTTAACCTTCATTAATTCAGGTGTACTAGTGACTACTCTATCACACAGCGCAGTTCCAAAGATTCTCTTTTTCCTTTTAAGCAAAAGAACCTCAGCCACTGCCCATGACATGACTGTATTACTCTGTAACCAAGGACGGTGGCAGATGTGCTTAACTTACATCTAATGGTTTCTTCAAAGAATTCTGTAGCATGACTTTAGATAAACAAAACCAAAAAAATCTTCCATGAGTGAAAATGTGCATGCATTGCAGAGAAAAGGGAAGCACCGTTACCTAATTGCGTTGCAAAAGCAGAAGGGGCGGCTGCAGGCCAGGGTGGAAACTTCAGAGCAGTTAGTTGTTGAGACAACCCAGGTATCTTATAAACCAGTTGCTGTAGGGTTGACTCATGCTACCCCACGTGTATCAGAGTAAAACTGTGCTCCATTTTGCTGATGTTTTTGGAAGCAAGTCACCAGGTCTTTCTTTAAAGACACTTCTGCTAGCAATGAAGAGTCTGCACAACCCAGCGACACCCGAACTCTTTCAGTGAAAACCAACCCAACAAACCATAACCCTTCACTGTGGCCATGGCCACAGCTCACTCTTAATGCACACCTATGACCATAAAACCATAGGAAATTAAAAAATAAAGCCGCTGTCTGTTGCTTTTATTTATACTTGTGCAAAATGCCTCAAGCACCTCTCTGTGGAGAGTTGAGATCCCTAGTCGGAGACCTCAAAGTGTCCCTTCAACCCTTTGCCACCACTTTTTATAAAATACATTTGTGATTTTCAAACCCTTTGCTTACTGTCTCCAACCAGAATGACAGGAGAGAAACAAGAGAGAGAAGGAGAGAGTTGTTTGAAAAATCTGCTTTGAGCCAAGTCTGTAGGGCCAAGACTACCAGCCACATATTTATTTTAAACACTGTTATTTGCTGTATGTCTTCTTGTGGTTCCGACGATGATATTGCATGTCTTCAAAGCCCGAAGAGCGCTGTGGAAGCATTTTAGGCAGAAGGATTCCCACATATGACCCTTAACGCCTCCTCCGGACTCCCCCACTATGATTCACAAAGGTGTCTTTAGCCAACTTTAAATTCCAGTTGCCATACAGGTTCCAGATCAACTTGGCCAAATTAATAGGTGGGGCCGACTCTCCAAGCAATATCCCATTCAGATACCAGCAAGGAGCCTTCCCAGGTCTAACCCTCGCCCCTGGCCTCAGGCAACCAGGTTTACAGAGTGGGTAGATGTTGGCCTCTTACCTGCAGGTCTCAAACCCGATGCTCAGGGCTTTCTTCATCTGTTCCATGGTAGGCAGAGTGGCATTGAAAGCTGTGCAGAGGTCAGCAGCCTCTGTCAGTGAGATGCTGTAGCGGCCATTTTTCTCCACGTGGAATACACCAGCATATCGACAGGTTATGTTCAGATCTGTGGGATGAAACAGAATGGTTAACTTCTTTTGTATCAATCACTTGGAAAGGCTAAGAAGTTCATTTGAAGATAGACTGATTTAAAAGCCAACTAAACTTCTCCACTGACTGATCTTCAAAATTCACTCTAGCAATCCAAAGCACTATTACATAAGCTTCAATCTTAGCTTAACAGATTAAACATGATAAACTAGCATCACTCTTACATTCCTCCATCAGTTTGTATATATATATCCTTGAAAACCCTATACAGGGTCGTTTCTGAGGCTCTAAATCTTTACAGGAACAGAAAGCCTCATCTTTCTCCTGTGGAACAGCTGGTAGTTTCGAACTGCTGACCTTGTAGTTTGCAGCCCAATTCATAACCACTACGCTACCAGAGCTTATATATATATATATGTATATAATGGCACCTAACAACAACAACAACAATTGCTGATTACTAAGCAATCCAAACTCCTGGAAAATTCACAAAAGGAGATAATGACGGTCCCTGGAAGATGCGAATATCTTGTATTCAACTACTAACCAAAAAGTTCAAACCCACTTGGTGGCTCCATAGAAGAAAAGTCTGGTTCTCTGCTTCCATAAGATAACAGCCAAGAAAACCCCGAGGAGCTCAGCTCTCCTCTGTAACACCACGGCCATCATGCGTCAGAATCAACTCAAGAAATAGATCTACTTTTTTTGTTTAATGAAGGAAAAGCCAGTCCATCACTCGGAAGACAACAGCAAACATTTTGCTGTGTCTTCTTCTAGTTTATTTTCTGGAGATAAATGTTATTTTAAACTGTCATTAGGTCAGTTCCCGACTCATGATAACCCCATTGAAGAAACGCTTCTTGACCCTGCACCACCCCTATGACAGTCTAGGGGTTGAACCATGGTGACCCATAGGGTTTTCATTAGCTTGTTTCTAGTAGTTGATCACCAGACCTTTCTTCCTTATTTCTCTTACTACGTAAGCTCTGGTGAAAGCTACTTCATCATAGCAACATGCCAGCCTCCATTGGCAGAAGGGTGATAGCTGCACACAGGAGTGTTGGCTGGAATCAAACTCAGTTCTTTTATATGAAGGGCAAGGGTTCTACCACGTTACCACCAGTGCCTCATTGGATATGGAATATCCAGGATTCTACCATGTTACCACCAGTGCCTCACTGGATATGGAATATCTAGGGTTCTACCAGTCACTGGAGAAGGACATCATGTTTGGTAAGGTGGAGGGTCAGGGAAAAAGAGGAAGACCCCCAACAAGATGGATTGGTCAAGTGGCAGCATCAAGGGACTCAAGCGTGACAACAGTAGTGAGGTTGGTTCAGGATCGGGCAGTGTTTTGTTTTGCTGTGCATAAGGTCACTATGGGTCGGTACCGACTCGATGGCACCTAACAACAACTACACACCATGTAACCACCAGTGCCTCATTGGATATGTAATATCCAGGAATCTGTCCACTCATATAGGAAGAAGTTGCTAGTGTCTTGTCATGAGGTCTAGAAAAAGAAGTTTCTTTATCATATACCAACAGGCTTCAATGAGTTTGTGGGGAAATTCCATTATCTTTGAATTCCATGTTTTCATGAATTTTTTGAAGGCCCATATATATAACATTTGAAATAGCACTGAAGACACGGTTTTAGGTCTGAGAATCCTTCTTGCACTTAACGTTGTGGGTAGTTTCCCACCATTAGGTGTTGTTGTTGCATTGCTCATAACCTCCGATGTCTCCTGGAGGCACCTGGAATAAATTTCCTCATCATGGCCAATGATAGGAGCCCTCATGGTAGTGGTTAAGAATTTGGCTGCTAATCCAAAGGCCAGTGGCTCAGACCCACAGGATAAAGACGTAGTAACCTGCTTCTGTAAAGATTTCAGCCTTGGAAACACAATTCTAGTCTGTCCTACAGGGTTGTTGTCAGTTGGAATCAACTTGAGTGCTATAGATTTTTTGGCCAAGGAAGAACGTCCCTATAGGGTTTCAAAGGTTGCATTCGTTGCATAAAAAATCGTTCCCACATCTTTCTCCTGGCCAGTGGTGGTTTTTAACTATTTAACCTTTTCATTAGTGGCCGAATACTTAATCACTGCACCACCAAGACATTCATATCTGCCTCCACTGTCTGTCTGGAATTTTCTATCCTCAGCACTTCACATGGATGGTTCATTTTTGCCTTTCAGCATCTCAGCACTACATCCCCTCACCTCAGAGTTCTTCCCTGAACATGCTGATCCAACTTCCAGCTTCTCCCTCACCTCGTCATGGCTTTGTGTTTTCAAGTAACTCGTTTATTTATTAGTGCATTTGGTTAGTATCTTCTTTCTGTTGTATAAGCTCCAAGAAAACAAACCTTTGCATTCATTTCTGGCTCTAACACCTACATCAGTGCTTGGCATAAAGTAGACCATTAACAAATGTTAGTTGAATAAATGAATGTCTTCTTGAAATCCCTCTCCCACCCCACAAAAAGATACTGTTAACATATCAACATACTCAAGACCTGTTGTTTGCTACCGAGTGTTAATGCCATTGATAACGGAAGGCATGCTGCTATCAACTGGTTACAGAATTATTTAGGGCAAGGACTTTGGTGAGTATCATATACAAACTTGTGTAGACATTAATCTGTAATCTCAATGTTGTTGTTGTTGTTAAGTGCTATCGAGTTGGTTCCAACTCATAGTGACTCTGTATAGGGTTTCTGAGGAGCGGCTGGTGAGCTTGAACCGCTGACCTTGCAGTCCAGTGTATTATCCCACAGTGCCACACCAGGACACCTCTCTATAGGGAGCCCCAAATTACCCTGCTATGCCTGATCCTGTATAATAGTCTCAAGACTTCAAGGGCCTTAACAACAACTCATTCTTGTGTGGACTATCTTATCCCTGGATTGCACTGACCCAGGTAGGTCCTGACACAGAAAGTTTCAACACTGAAACTGTTCTGGTGAAGTGCAATTCCTCTTGGATACTTCTTTATGCCTCAGACAGTCTCTCTTTAAGGAAGCACACCAACACATGCACTCTAGGCCTACCCCATTGTCCCAGGTCTGGGTTCAGGTAGAAATGGCTCGAACCCAAACTCTTTTTCTCACTCGTGTAGGTCTAGATGTGAAATAAGTCAGGCACAGGATAAATATAGGATCCCACTTATTTAAAATATCCAGAATGCAGAGCGACCAAATACAAATTCATAGAGACCAAAGTTCATCAGTGGTTGCCAGGGATAGGTGGGAAAATACAATGAACAGGTATTGCTTAAGGGGTACAGGGTGTTTGTTAAAGGTGATGAAAACCTCTAATGGTGTCCCTTCAAGCAGCTCATGCAACACTTGGCTGGTGAAGCAAGAGGAACACAGAACAGAGATGTACAAGGCCCTTTTGAAATACTATTTGTTTTTACTGACATTTTCAGCTTTGGCCTTGGTTGGCCAATCTTAGCAAAGGGAAACTGTCACTCTGGTATATGAAAGAAAAACAGAACCTCTAAGCCTGCCCCTTGGAATGTGAGGCTGATAGAGGAACTTCAGCCAGATCCCTGACAAGACAGCGAACATGCTGGTCAGCTCCTGGTGCAGGTGATGTTGTCTGGGGCATGGACCCTGGTTTGGAGCTACATGGCAGATTCTCCCCTATTCAATTCACTCTAACTTGTCACCTGGCAAATAGAATATGCATAAATGCAAAAGGAACTAAGTCAGGATGAGACTTTTGAATGGAATCTCTTGAGTTTCATGTGGAGTCGTCAAGATAACAATATGATATTGTTGCTAAGTGTTTGAGTTTGTTTCAACTCATAGCGATCCTGTATAGGGTTTCCAAAGAGTGGCTGGTAGATTTGAACTGCTGGCCTTTCAGTTAGTAGTCCAGTACTTAACCTACAGTGCCACATTGGGACTCCATGTAATGTTATAGATGATACTTCACAGACAGGGTGCATTGTGTGAGTGTATCAGTGAGGTATAGGTGTGTCAGACAAGAGAAGATGAGACAATATAGTCAACCTTGCACCTGCTTGGACAACAAGCCTCAAACAGGGCCTGACACATAGTAGGCACTCAGCAAAGGGCTGCCCGGTGACTGAAGAAATCCTATTAAAATTCAAAATTCATATCTATATCATGGTAATCTCATGAAAAGGTCAAACTCACAGCTCTGATGGCATTCAGACACTTAAGGATGCAATGATTATGCCAAATATTAATTTTCAAGTCAATTGTCCTGTAAGTACAATTTTTCTTCTCTAAACCGTTTTTGCTTTAAAAGGGAACATATTTTCAAGTGTGTGTATCATTTAAGTCCTAACTATTCATGAAGATGTTCTAATGGCCATCCTTAAACACTTCAACAAACACAAACTATTATCTTGAAGGGTATTAATAATACCAACAACAATCATGGTAGCTAATACTTGTTGTGTGCTTCTTATATATCTGAGGGGGCTTCAAAGATATGTGGAAATTTTTCATTATCCTTTAGTTCCATTTTCCCACAAGTTTTGTGAAGCCCCCCTTGCATGTGCCATGTGCTCCTATAAGCATGTTACAAGTATTAACTCATTTTATTCTCAAAACAAGCTATGACATGGATAATATTAGAATCTGCATTTCCCAGATGTAGAAACTGAGGCACCAAAGAAGAGAAAACATGCCCAGCTTCACCAAGCTATTAGTGGTGGAGTCAAGATTCAAATTCAGCCAGTTTGGGTGCCAAGAGTTCACAAGCTTAATTAACTACAATTCCTAACCCCAATTTAAGTAACTATGACCTCTTTAGCTCTTGAATGCCTGGCTGAGGATATTCGCAAGGTTAAAGCAAGGTTAAAGTCAAGTTGAAGTGAGACTAGCCATGGACCACACACACACAAATCTATGGACAGAGCACCTGTGTCTGTGGTATTGTGCTAACGGTGTCTGGGAGATGGGACCCCCAAGACCTCTCAGGAGGTCCCTCCTTCCTGAGAAACAGATACCTCTGGATTCAGAAGCTGCTGTGGCCC